CCTCATTCTTCACTTTTTGATATAATTGGTGTTTTAATCACTCTTAAAAATATTGAAAGGTTATTGCCATTACAGATTTAATGTTTTTGCACATTCTTTACTGTTTGCAGTTAAATATTTTTACAGATTAGACTGCCTAATTTAAGTGAGAGAAAAGATTGTAAGTCCTTTTTACTTTTGTGTTTAGTTTTCATTTCCGTTGCAGCTAATTGATCATATCCTCCCTTTGTGAGCCCACTGTACTCACAGAGATTAAAATGAGCAAGAGTATCGAGGAACATACTAATCCTTCTTGGACAAAAAAAGTTCGACATTTTTTTAAGCAAGAAAATAGGAAGAACAAGAAACGTTCTTTTGCATAAAGTCAAATCAAAGAATGAAATTGTCATTGATTTTGTTATCATCATTTTTGCAGTTGATTTATGCCAAAGTACGCTCGAACGAAGTAAGTAAATTATTTGTGTGTTTGTAACTGTCAAATTGTTCCAAACTATAGCGATTGAAATAAAAAGTTGAAATGGTTGGATGTTTTTCAAAGTTCAACAACAAAGAAATAAAAAAATTATTACGGTTCATGAGCGACCTTACAAATAATAAATACATTCTTTCCAACCTTATAGTCATTGTATAATTGAAAAAGATAACTACGAGCATGTTTTTTGTGTCTACTTGCAGCATTATTTACTGCATATTATTTATTTCGTTGCTTTACTGCTACGCTCTTTTAAGATCTCTGTGTAGCTACGAAAGGAAACTAAAGTTAAAACATGTATTTTTTTTAAAACAAATTTCTTCCTCATTTTCAACTAATTTGTTCTATTTATGTTACAACAAAGCTTTATACATTTGTTAATAAGGTCAAAAAACATTGTGATGACAGATTCGCACCCTGTTTACTATTTACATGAGACAATTTGTTGACAGATAAGAAACCGTCTAAATAGATGTGATAACAGATTGTGAATCAGACCTTTGCAATTTGTTTGCATTTAATTCATTAAGGTATCATTTTATAGCATCTTCAGTCAGTGGAAATTATTTAAGATCAAAACGTTTTGACTTAGAAAAATACGATAACGTATTTTGAGATATTTAGCGAATCATATTTTTCACAAATTTAGCAGTGATCTTGACCTAAATTTTAATGATTGCAAAAACAATTTAGTTGATTGTATGTAGTATATACCTCAATATTTAAAGCTCCCTACAAATAAAGTTTTTTGATATAAGTTAACTAGAAGTGACATGAACATTGTCTGATTGTCCTGTTGTTAATTTTTACTTAAATCAGTCAAATGATACTTTTAGGATGTTTGTAAAGCATCAACAGCGCAAATTCAAATAAAACCCTGTGTTTCCTCGCAATAATTTGCGTCCTTATTCCTCACAATTAAAAAAAATATTTCCATTTTGGCGTTTGTCGTATATTGACTATATTGAAAAATTTACTGTGGCAATTGATCCCCACGACATGTTTAAATGAGTCACAAGAAAAATTTTTTACACTCCGACGACCTCGCAATACAGAAAACTTGAAGTGTCGAACTATGTAATCTGTGTAGGAGTGGACTAAAGACAGAAAAATATGGACGTATATGATTCATATTTTTACTCGTAACTTCCTTTTCTTCATGGGGAATTTGATTTGCAAAATTATTTCTTAAACAATATTACTGTATAATAAACAGTTGTGTAAAACCATTGTATTATTAAAATGCAAATAATTCTGTAGGAAGCAAATGATGATATCTATGAAACATGCCAAACAAGTCAGTATGGAACGTACAAAGTTGCCCTTCGATTCTGTGACAGAGGATATTGGCGCACAACTGGTCAACAGAAAACTCATAGTGGTCATCTAAAAACTTCTCATGGTTGTGTGAAAACTTCTAATAGTACCAAAAATGGTATTTTCACAAAATTAGCTACTTTTAATGGTAATTCTATATTTTATCAAATTATGCATGTTCATGCACACTGTGTATAATAAAAGGATGACAAATTTCACGATAATTTACAACTCAGTTTTATATTGTTGTTAGAAACTTAGTTGTAAAAGCACTACGCATTGCAAACGTCAGCAATATGAGGTACATATATTAAAAATAAAAAGATGAAATATACAAAATTTTTGGCTCGATCGTTGTTTTGGCAATGATGTTCTCAAAAAATCATTCTTTACTCAAACAATAACACTTTCTGATGTTTTTTGAAACTTCAATCCAAGTCCCATAAACTAACACAATCTTTAAAATGTACGTAGTAAAGTTTTTTGAGAAACATCGGATTTACCAATGCAAGCAAGTATAACTTATTGCCGCAAATTTTAGAGCTTATAAACAATCCTGCATGAACAATCCCACGATCCAGTTTTAAGGATTGGGGTCATTGTATTAAAAACACTTAAAATATTTCTATTTGCCACCTGCGAATACTTCGTTTAAGCGATAACGTATGCATGATGCATTATACGCTTGACTTCATCTGAAGACTGATGTCATCATACCATTCGATTGTCCACTGTGCAAATATATATATTGCTATATTAGCTGGTAACCGTATCTAAATGTTTATATGTTTATATGCTAAAATGTAGCATTTAGCTAAATTGCAAATATTGGTATTTTACTTAAGAAAGTTATTTTTATCTCAAAGATATCGACGCAAAATATAAACGACAAATTTGCCAAACATAATGAAATAACCAGTGCATCGTTCTTTGTTCAATTTAGGAACATCTTGCAAAGATATCTTAACGAAATATCCATCTGCAAACTCTGGAGTCTATTGGATCAACGTCACCGATCACCAGCCGATTAAAGTATATTGCGAAATGGAGACACAAGGAGGAGGCTGGACCTTAGTTTATAGTTACACTTTCACACACTATCAAGGATTTGGATTAACACGAAATGCCGTAACGCCTCGACCTAACTGGCCGGCAATTGGTGCTACGGTCCCAGTTTCAACGACTCCACCACTAAATGAATCGTTAAATGGGGCTGTAGATTGGAATCTTTGGAGAGAAATTGGAAACGAATTTATGGTGACGTCAAATATTAATGATTGGATTGTTTGTCAACCTAAAACTGGAAGTTTGGTAACAAAAAAAGATGGGGATATATCATGTCAAAATATCAAGAATGTCGCTCAAGCTTGTAAAAATAAAAGTCCTTCTTCCATCATATGGTATTCTGTTGGACCGGGCTTAAAGAGCGATAGTGTTTATTATTTATTTGAAGGCAGCATTAATCCTGGATGGTGGCCAACACACGATCCATGTGGCAAAGCTCAAAAGAATCAAAAGAAAGATGTTCATAATCCAAGAGGGAACATTTATATTCGCTGATTGCATTGAACTGGAAATAGCACCAATACTTTAGATTTCCTATCATCTATTTTCTTTGTAATATATATCACTTCAATTAAAAGACTACAGGTGCAATGAATGAAATTTAATTTCTAGCATATATAGTTATTTAAACAAATGATATGAATCTGATAACGATTAGAATCCCGTAATCAACATGGTTAGCAATACAAATTCTTATAACTACTACCAAACAATAACGTACCTTTTTCTTATTGAACTCAAACTGAAAATTTAAGGTGAGATAAATTTTTGACGATGGTTTCCGAAATGAACATAAATTTACATAAATATTTACAAGATGATTTAGTGTAAGTGTTCTTGTTGTCCTTCGTATTTGAAAATTTTTCTATTGACAAAAGTGCTTTCAGCCTTGATGTTAATACCAAATAAGAACGATTTTGAGTTATTTTGACATTATTTTAACAAACTAAGTACATTAACATCACCTGTATTAAATAACTCAGTATCATGGCACAGCAGTAGCTAAAAGGTACAGTTTTAGTTGAAACATGGGTGGACAAGTCGATTAGTCGAGTAACTTCTGTTGTATCTTGAGAGCGAGCCTTTTTAATTTTTTAAAGTCAAGAGTTTCCACTGTGCAAATGGTGAAGCATCTTTGCGTCACATCCAGTCTAGAGTCATATATTTCCTAATGAAAAGTAACTCCATGCTTGGTATTTGCAATGTGCTGTAGCCACAGTACGTTCTGTAAACGCTTTCTCATTTCTGCAAAGTTTAGCATAATAAATACGTGTTTATTGTGGCTGGTTCAGCCTTTCGTAATATGAGCTGATTATTTCTACGAATATTGATTGCAGCATTATATATTACTCAGCATAAAGAATAATAATTGTGTTATAAAATATCACGAGTATGAAAATTCTTAGTATGCTTAATAGCAAATTTTCTCTTCACGTTTTTGTGTTCGTATCTTTGTTATCTAAGCCCACTGCAAGTGCTAATGTAAAAATGAGCAAGTGTATCAAAGAACATCTACATCCTCTGAAAATCAAGAAAGATCAACATCATTTCAGACAAGGGAAGAGTAAGAAAAGGAAAACTTTATCAAATGATGAATTTGTCATTGATCTTCATGCCATCATTTTTTCTGTTGATTTATGTCAAAGCACACGCAAATAAGGTTAGTGTTTTATGTATAATTAACTTTGAGTGCAACGATTGAAAATTAGGTAATGTGAAGGAAATGTTTATATTCTTCAGGCATTGACATATTCACAATATGAGATTTGTCATATTTTCTTGAATAACTTTCAAATGTTTTACTTTAATGTAATGTTTTTTTAAGATCTCTAGCGTGCAGCAACTAAGTGAAAACATCTGTTCTATTTCAGACAAATTTCTTCCTCATTCTTCACTTTTTGATATAATTGGGGTTTTAATCACTCTTTAAAAATATTAAAACGACATTGCGATTACAGATTTGATATTTTTGCAGGTTGTTCACTATTCACAGTTAAACTATTTTACAAATTAGGCAGCCTAATTTAAGTGAGATAACAGATTATAAAATCCTTTTTACTTTGTATTTATTTTCATTTCCGTTGCAGCTAATTGATTATATCCGCACTTTGTGAGCCCACTGTACTCACATGGGTTAAAATGAGCAAGAGTATCGAGGAACATACCAATCCTTCATGACAAAGAAAGATCAACATTTTTTTCGCAAGAAAATAATAAGAACAAGAAACGTTCTTTTGCATAAAGTCAAATCAAAGAATGAAATTGTCATTGATCTTATTATCATCATTTTTGCAGTTGATTTATGTCAAAGTACGCTCGAACGAAGTAAGTAAATTATTTGTGTGTTTGTACCTGTCAAATTGTTCCAAAATGGGGCGAATGAAAGAAAAAGTTGAAATGATAGGATGTTTTTTAAAGTTTAACAACAAAAATTATTACGGTTCATGAGCGACCTTACAAAAAATAAATACATTCTTTTGCACCTTATAGTCATTGTATAAATGAAAAAGATAACTTCGAGCAATTTTTTTTGTGTCTACTTGCAGCATTATTTACTGCATATTATTTATTTCGTTGCTTTTCTGTTACGCTCGTTTAAGATCTCTGTGTAGCTACAAAAGAAACTTAAAATAAAACATGTGTTTATTTAAAACAAATTTCTTCCTCATTTTCAACTAATTTGTTCTATTTATGTTACAACATAGCTTTATACATTTGTTAATAAGGTCAAACACATTGCGGTGACAGATTCGCACCATGTTTACTCTTTACATGAGACAATTTGTTGACAGATAATAAACCGTCTGAATAAATGTGATAACAGATTGTGAATCAGACCTTTGCAATTTGTTTGCATTTATTTCATAAACGTATCATTTTATAACATCTTCAGTCCGTGGGAATTATTTAAGATGAAAACGTTTTGACTTAGAAAAATACGATAGCGTATTTTGAGATATTTTGTCGAATCATATTTTTCACAAATTCGGCGGTCATCTTGACCTCAATTTCAAGCTTTAATGATTGAAAACATTTAAGTTAATTGTATGTAGTATATACCTCAAAGTTCAAAGCTCCCTAGAAATAAAGTTTTTTGACTTAAGTTACCTAGAAGTGACATGAACATTGTCTGATTGTCCTGTTGTTAATTGTTACTTAAATCAGTCATATGATACTTTCTGGATGTCTGTAAAGCATCAACAGCGCAAATTAAAATAAAACCCGTGTTTTCTCGCAGCAATTTACATCTTATTCCTCACAATTAAAAAAATATTTCCCTTTCTGCGTTTGTCATATGTTGACTATATTGAAACTTTTACTGTGGCAACAGATCCCCACGCTATGTTTAAATGAGTAACAAGAAAATTTTTTTGACAGTCCGACGACCTTGCAATTCAGAAAACTTGAAATGTCGTACTAAATAATCTGTGTAGGAGTGGACTAAAGGCAGGAAAATATGGACGTATATGGTTCATTATTTTACTCGTAGCTTCCTTTTCTTCATGTGGAATTTGATTTGCAAAATTATTTCTCAAACAATATGACTGTATAATTATCAGTTGTGTACAGCCATTGTATTGAAATGCGAATAATTCTGTAGGAAGCAAATGATGATATCTATGAAACATGCCAAACAAGTCAGTATGGAACGTACAAAGTTGCCCTTCGATTCTGTGACAGAGGATATTGGCGCACAACTGGTCAACAGAAAACTCATAGTGGTCATCTAAAAACTTCTCATGGTTGTGTGAAAACTTCTAATAGTACCAAAAATGGTATTTTCACAAAACTAGCTACTTTTTATGGTAATTCTGCTATTTATCAAGTTATGCATGTTCATACACACTATGTATTATAAAAGGCTGACAAATTTCACGATAATTCACATTTCAGTGCTATACTGTTGTTAGAAACTCAGTTGTAAGAGCACTACGCATGTTAAATGTCAGCAATATGAGATACATATATTAAAAATGAAGAGATGAAATATACAAAAAGTTTTGGCTCGAGCGTTGTTTTGGCAATGATGTTCTCAAAAAATCATTCTTTACTCAAATAATAACACTTTTAATGTTTTCGGAAACTTCAATCCAAGTCCAATAAACTGACACAATCCTTAAAATGTACGTAGTAAAGTTTTTTGAGAAACATCGGATTTACCAATGCAATTTTAGAGCTTATAAACAATCCTGCATGAACAATCTCACGATCCAGTTTTAAGGATTAGGGTCATTGTAGTAAAAACACTAAAAATGTTTCTACTTGCCACCTGCGAAAACTTCGTTTAAGCGATGGCGTATGCATGATGCATTATACGCTTGATTTCATCTGAAGACTGATGTCATCATACCATTCGATTGTCCACTGTGTATATACATATATTGCTATATTAGCTGGTAACCGTATCTAAATGTTTAAATGTTTATATGCTAAAATTCAAATATTATTATTTTACTTAAAAAATTATTTTTATCTCAACGATGTCGAAGCAAAATATAAACGCGCATTTGCCAAAACAGAATGAAATAACCAGTGTACCGTTCTTTGTTCAATTTAGGAACATCTTGCAAAGATATCTTAACGAAATATCCATATGCAAACTCTGGAGTCTATTGGATCAACGTCACCAATCACCCGCCGATTAAAGTATATTGCGAAATGGAGACACAAGGAGGAGGCTGGACCTTAGTTTATAGTTACACTTTCACACACTATCAAGGATTTAGATTAACAAGGAATGCCGTAACGCCTCGACCTAATTGGCCGGCAATGAGTGCTACGGTACCAGTTTCAACGACTCCGCCATTAAATCAATCATTAAGGGGCTGTAGATTGGAATCTTTGGAGGGAAATTGGAAACGAGTTTATGGTGACGTCAAATATTAATGATTGGATTGTTTGTCAACCTAAAACTGGAAGTTTGGTAACAAAAAAGATGGAGATATATCATGTCAAAATATCAAGAATGTCGCTCAAGCATGTAAAAACACAAGTCCTTCATCTATGCGATGGTATTCTGTTGGACCCAGCATAAAAGCCAGTAATTTTTATTATTTCTTTGACGGCAGCACATTGCAAAATGTTCCAACGCATGATCCATGCGGCAAAGATAAGCTTTCTCAAAAGAAATATGTTTCAAATCCAAGAGGGAACATTTATATTCGCTAAATCTAACAAAGTGGAAGTAGCAACAGTAATGTAAATTTCCAATTTCGTTTTTTCCATTGTTTATGGTAGCTAAAAATATTGAAATATATATCAATTTCACAAACAAAATCTTTTTTCTTATGAACAAAATTATCCCAGTAGCTCGAGATTTGGGAGGGGGCAGTATTTGTATGTTCATGTTTTGGTACATTTAAGCTCTTTTGAAATCGTTTGTTTTTTGTGTATTATAACATGCATACGAGAAAATATTTGCATTACCACCTACAGCTACGCGAAGGACAAGACCATAACGCATCTACACCAGTTTAGGAAGAACTTGCAAATTCAATCTTATAAAAGACCAGTCTTATGATCCCTGTATGCTAAAGGCAGGGAAGAAATTTTTATGACAGACGAGTGTTGTTGCTGCCACGCATCAGCGTGGCAGCACACTAATCTTGACATGTCTCGGCCCATTCCTCTACTCGACCTATATAGAGGTAAAATCTCGATTTGTGTCTGTCTGTTAACATTTCCGGGGGGGGATTTTACGGAATGAGGGGGGAAGAACAATCACAATAAGGTAGAACCTTTCGGAACTCCAGTCAGTTTCTCTTTGATTTTAAATGTCTGGAATCCGAATAGATATGCGGCCTAAACAACGTTATACAGTAGATACTAAAATCGAGTGATTACCGACATCAATTACACATAACTCGTTTGGCGAAAAACACATGAAATCGATTCACCGTGCCGTATTTAGCCAGCTCGGTTCACATTTTTTATCTTGCGCTTTATGGTCAGACGGTGAGCAAAATATAGTGTAAGCATGTATTTATTTTCGTTAGAGCTTTTATTATTACTTGAAATATCGGTGTGGATTTAACAAAACCTCAAAAATAATTTAAACGCATGGTGCGAGTTCAACCATGAAATATGAATTATGAATATGATGAAACGTTTGCTCTTTGCGATAACTATACATCATTTTATCGCAGTCGCACAGAATCATCGGAAAAAAGGTTCTATCAAAATGTTATAAAGGAAATAATGGAAACAAAACTACAGTTTTATAATATAGTCCGTTTCTACGTTTGTAAACATGCGGACGATTGTTCGGTTGAGTAAACAAGGTATCATACTTTTAATCAAAAAGCATTTTAAAAACTCAAAAGAATCAAAACAATCAAGACATTTAAAAGAATCAAAAGAATGTTTTCATTCAAAATGGCAAGGAATTTATCTTTTAATTTTATGATGAAAACGTATGACTGACGAGAATCGATTGAGCATTGAAGCACTCACCTCCATACAAGGTGAACTGTGCGTCGTTTGTGCATGCCGATTGGATAGAAATTGGAATGCTATGATTAAACGATCGTGACTAAACACCACACGAGTACATACGAGTACATACGAGTAACATACGAGTACATACGAGTGACATACGAGTGACATACGAGTACATACGAGTAACATACAAGTACTTACGAGTAACATACGAGTACATACGAGTGACATACGACTATTTTCTGGTCAACAAATGAGAAACAACACAATTTCTTCAATACATTGATAATTGCGTTTATTTTTCCTTGTATTTGTGTGGACTTTGGGGCAACCATTTGATGGATTTAAATGCTGAAAAGGTATTTTACTTTTATACTACATTCATTTGTATGTTTTAGTTGAATTTGTTATAGATATTTTGTCGATGCGATTTGCCAGTATTTGAGTGCTTTTTGAAACACTTTCACCTAGGAAATACATATTTATCAAAGCGATTAAATAAACAATGTATAAATAATGCTTTCAAAACGTGCTACATGAAATAAATATACATTATATATATTTGAACTAAATGAGAGTTGCACTGTTACGTATAGTCCTGAGACGGACTGTTTTTGTTGTTGTTGACTGACGTTTCGACAACCTTAGCGGTAGTCATCTTCAGAGTCAAAATGAATGTATAATCGCTTTCATAAATATGTATTTCCTAGGTGAAAGTGCTTCAAAAAGCGCTCAAATACTGGCAAATCGCATCGACAAAATATCTATAACAAATTCAACTAAAACATACAAATGAATGTAGTATGAAAGTAAAATACCTTTTCAGCATTTAAATCCATCAAATGGTTGCCCCAAAGTCCACACAAATACAAGGAAAAATAAACGCAAATATCAATGTATTGAAGGAATTGTGTTGTTTCTCATTTGTTGACCAGAAAATAGTCGTATGTCACTCGTATGTACTCGTATGTACTTGTAAGTTACTCTTATGTACTCGTATGTTACTCGTATGCACTCGTATGTTACTCGTATGTACTCGTATGTACCATTCAAGTTTGTATGTGTATAAAAGTGATTCCTCGCTAAAACAACTGAGTAACATGAATCCAGGTGAAAACATATGATATACTAACAAAGAAGCGCAGGGAGACTTAAGAGATACATATATGACACCATATAACGATTTGTATTGATGGATGTGTTGATCTTGTGCTGTTGGCAACCAAGTGAATGAAATTCTGAAAATTTCATTTAAGCTCCGGTTAACATGATTTAATTGTCATTGGCCGAGTTCTAAATGACAATATGCAAATTTTTGTAAAATGAGCTTTGAAAACTGTTCATCCAATTATCCATTTTGAAATTAGCATAATTATACATACAAACAATGTTACTTCTTGCATCTACTTCTATAAATTGATTTATATGACAATTTGAAAATAAAAGATGACACAATTAGCTTGTCTATATGCAATGACAAAGTATACGAGTTGTTGCGGTTTCTTGCTGTATTTTTATTTTTACCATTCATTATTGTATTGTGTATGGCAGATGATAAATGATGGAAAACACGCAATAGCAGTTTCCAAACTGTTTTACCTTACTTGGTGGAGGGGCAGCACTTCCCTTGCGATAGTAACTCCTAGTTATTTAATATAGTTGTGACGGAGAGTGCGCAGTGCAATAGATCAACCCCTGCAACTACATATTTATCAAATCAAAGGCTATATCAAAAAAGACCTTTTGATATTGACTTTTATTGTGAAGTTTTAATGCATAATCACGAAAGTAATCCAACTGCTGCATTATCATTTTCATTTAATGCTTTTTTACTTTTTTGTTATGATTTGATAACAATATAAAACAGCATGGTAAGTTACATACCTAAAAACTGATAAGTAAGAACTGTTTACAAATTGTAAATAGTTTTGTTCAACCTTGTCCACTCCACAGTCGAGTCATTCATTATAGCACATTCTTAAAGCTGCACAAATTGGGAACTTCATAAACTTGGCATACTCTATGTCAGGGGTGGGCAACATACGGTCCGCGGGCCGGGTCCGGCCCCTGAAGGGATTTTGATGTGCCCGCCGACTGCATCCGACCATTGAATATTGAATATTGGTCGTCTTTGAATTTAATTGACATTTAGAATTTACTTGATTCAGCAGCTGTGATACCCAAGGAGGCGTAAATGCAAGTAAGATGAAATTTGTTTTATACATGTGAGCCAATAAATTTGTCTTGACTGTCAAAACAAGTTATTTTAGTTGCTTCATGATGGGCATTCAAATAACACTTACATTTGACAATAGCAAAAAATGACAGATTACACACTCCTACATTACCGGAAACATCCATGACGTCATTGAAAAACAGCTCTCCAACAAATAATAGCGACACAACAAAAATATCTAAAAATGCTTTCAATAAAAAAGGCGTTTTATGGCAAGAAAGTCCATTTACACAACTGCTTGAGTGCTTTACAGTTATCTATGCAGTTAAATACAAATACCAAAGGTTGGAAATGAGCGAAAAAAATAGAACCTTTCAGTAAATTTAATAATCTATGTTAACAATCAACAAAACTTAATAACAATGCAATTGTTTTGGCTCCAAAAATAATCCATCCCTGTCAACGTGGATGATGAGAAGTTGAGAGTTAGTTCTTGCAGCATTGCTTAAACATGCGTGCTGCTTATATGTATACTACCATACAGTTTAGTTTATAAAGTATGCCAAAATTGTGGGTAAGTTCATCATTAATAATTAGTTAGTTATTAAAAATTATTAATTATTAATCTATTAGAATCAATTAAATTACATGAATTAAGTAATTAATCAATTAATTAGCGAACTTCATTATTGAGTATCGATACTTCTTTTGGTTGGCTTCCATCAGCTTATCGTCAATATTTGGAAAAAGTTTTTTTGTGCTTCCACGGCCAATTTGAACGGTGAGCAAATCTAAATTCAAAGAAAGGACATTAAAGACAAGCTAGTTATTTGTAAAAACTAATATTCATTACTTGAAATAAATCTCCTAACACATTCCAGTAACCATTATCCTAATCACATAAAACAAACAAGAATAAACAAGCGCATTGAATTAGGGAGTCTTCATATCACAAAATGAACCTGACAACACTCCTAAAGAGATGATAATATAAGATGCAGGCGTAAATTTGTGTGAATTTGATCATGACAAGATACTTTAGGAGTCCATCCACCATATCTTTAAAAATACAATAAACGTAAATGCATTTAATCGCCATGAAAAGCGCTTGTTATACAATGACGGTATTTTATCCAGTTTCGTACTGTGATCATTGACCATGAACAACAGATGTCGTAGAAATGGTCGCTGAAATCAATTTTTGTACATGCAATTGTAATGTGCAGAATATGATTAAAAGGTTAACTCACCACAACATAACTTGGAAGGCAATGTAATCTACGATCACTTCGATCGATATTTTCATTCTTCAAAACATTGAATTGGTAAAGATGATTGAGCTTTGCTTTAGGTAAACTGAAGTCTTTACTATGATACAAAACTTTGATGGAAGATTTCACAAACACAAAATCATTATCATTATCATGAAGTGAAAACACCGACGGCTGCCATAACCTCGAACCTAAATATTCATGCACGAGAGTTCCTCGATCATGAATGCTTTTGTCCTTCCACGTAGATATTGCCTTTCAAAAGTAACTAAAAACATAACACATACCTCTAAAGGTTCATCCAAGCTTTGCAAAGCTTTCCAGAGTAAATCAGGTTTTTTAAACAATGTTTGTTTGAAACGATGACTATAGAGTTGGCTATGTTTTGGACGAGGATAATTTTAGTTTTCTTCTCGTTAAGGAAGGTGAACAGCACTTTCTTGATATCTTTAATAGTGTGCGATGAATCCAGAAAATCAAATGACGTTTCTTGGAACTGTTGTTTCTCTTCAATAAAGAATAGACATATAGTTTGGGTTATGGGGGATACTATATAAATAGATTTTAGAAAATATATTATAGCATCACCAAATCTGCTTTTAACATAGTAAGTCAAAAAGGAACTCCATGAGAAACATTAGGTGTTTCTGTCCGATGCGTATAGGGACGAAATTGAAGTTGACAGTTGTTTTCAATTTCTGTGCAACAGTGTCAAGACTTATCAAACTCACTAAGTTTTATTGTTCTTTGATCACCAGCACCATCAATGTGCCAAGAATGCAAATATTTACTCTCGTGCAAGTGACAGGGTAACAAGCTTAATAATTTTGAATCGCCATAACATATTGAGCCCAAAATTTATTCAGTAATTCGTCTGTCCCATTTATAATGAAGGTAAAGACAACAAAAAAATGACAGCACGATTAAATATGGTGAATAATAAACGTCGTGCTTAAACCATTATGAAAGAAAAACGTAATTACGTAAGGGGTAAAGAAGTGTTACATAAACGATACATAACTTGTTATAATTAATATGATTATTATATATGTTTGTAAATGATGATCGTCCAGGTTAATAAAGTCCTGAGAAGGACTGTTTTTGATGTTGTTGACTGATTATTATACTTCATTTATTTATTCTGAAGAAAAAACAATAGAATTTTTGGAATTCCTTGAATGCTTTTATATAAAAAAGAATGTAAAAGTTTAATTTTTATAAACAGAAATCTGAATAAATTAATCAACTGCAATTTACTCATTTAAATTAGTTGGACTAAACACATTTAGTAATTTAGCATATTACTAATGTTATGATTACCACTACAAATGAGTTCTCGGCTGCAAAGAAAGTACGGAAAAGGTTTAATCGAAGCACTATTCACACGACATAAACTAACCTGGGTTCAACGAAACCCATCTCAAGAAATAAGTTAATTCCAACTTATCAGTAAAATAGGCTATACTTCATGTAATACAATGAGTATAATGAATATTGAACATAATGAATATAGTGAATATTGAATATTAAAGCTTGGGTAATAGTAATGCAGTAGGTAGAAATCGTTTGGTCTTCATTGGAGGTAGGTCTTTCCGCACTTTCTCTCTCAGATCAAAATATTCAACAGAATCAAGATATTCTTCCTCATTCTTTCCGCCAACTACAACAATAACATTTTCATCGATAACAGCTGCGCATCCATATCTTTTACGATTGAGAGATGGAAGACTTTCATATTCTTCTGTTTTCAAATCATACATCAGGACATCTTCTAATACTTCACCTGCATCATTAATACCTCCAATCAAGATTGCCTTATCTCCATACCTTACAAGAGCCATGTTACTAACAGCATACGGAAGTGATTTGAGGTTTTGGGATGTGTCATAAGTCAGATTGTAAGAAAAAACACTGTCTTCAATGTCTTCATTTTGATTCGATGTCCTTCCACCAAAAACCAAAACCTGATCATCCATGATAAGCAAGCCATGACAGTATAGTCGCTGTAGCATAAATGTCAAAAAGTATGTTTTGTGCGGATTTTTTACTGAAATGGCGTGAATCTCGTTCGATACTTCTGGAGGTCTCATTCTGTTTAGTCCACCGGTCATAACAATTTTCTCATTCCAATAAATTACTTTATGCCCTTTACATGGTTTTGGCATTTCAATTTTAGTCTTTATCCACCCAGAACGTTCAACATTCAGACTTTCCACACTATTAGAACATTTCTTCCCATTTGATCCACCGGTTACAAAGATGTTTCCATCATAAACAAACGCAGCAGCACCACAACGTTTCTCTGTCATATTTTCCTCTTCTTTCCAAGTATTTTCATTAATGTAAAATGACTCTACGGACTCTAAACTGCCATATTCATTTTCCACTCCACATACTATGATGTCAAATTTTCCTGCGAGAAAATCAGAAGATGATTTATCTTCATCGTGTGAATCGTGTGCTGATGCATTATTTGTAACTTTTCTAATTAGTCTCAGCAATCCATTTCAGCAAGCCATTTCAGTAAAAAATCCGCACAAAACATACTTTTTGACATTTATGCTACAGCGACGATACTGTCATGGCTCGTTTAACATCGATGATCAGGTTTTGGTTTTTGGTGGAAGGACATCGAACCAAAATGAAGACATTGAAGACAGTGTTTTTTCTTACAATCTGACTTATGACACATCCCAAAACCTCAAATCACTTCCGTATGCTGTTAGTAACATGGCTCTTGTAAGGTATGGAGATAAGGCAATCTTGATTGGAGGTATTAATGATGAAGGTGTCCTGATGTATGATTTGAAAACAGAACAATATGAAAGTCTTCCATCTCTCAATCGTAAAAGATATGTGTAGTATAGTTATTATGTAAATTATTAGTATATCGTACGTCATACTACGTATATTATAATTAAGTAAAGATCTGTATAAAAGTAACATGACTAAGCAATAGCAGGGAGAAATCTCACAATTATAAATCTGGCGACAAAGATTATTAAGGCCGAAGAAATATGACTTGATCCTGAGAAAGATACTACATTTTGAACATGACAGCTTTGCCTAGCTTCCCGACGTTCAACTTAGAAGAACCACACCTTAAAAAGCTTAGGGAAAATAACGTATCAAGATTGGAGAATTTGTTGTTGGTAATGAACATTACAAACGCCGCAAGAAAGAAGGCGATGCTCCTGCACTATGTCAGTAAAGAAGTTAATGTGATATTCGAAACTTTAGAAATTGACGAGCCAGATAGAGAAGAAGATGTATTTAGAAAAGCGGAGAAAGCGTTACGAAATTACTTCACTCCACAGAAGAATATAGAATTCGAAGTTTATAAGTTTCGTCAAGCGAAACAACTCCCAGGAGAAAACATATCCGCGTACTATACGAGATTGAAACAATTGGCTAAATCCTGCGAATTTCATGAAGAAAGAAGAGAGATAAAAACTCAGATCATACAAAATGGTTTGTCTTCAAAATTGCGAAGAAAAGCGTTAGCAGACCCCGAAATAACGATGGAGAAATTACTACAAATGGGAAAAACAATGGAGATGTCAAAAACACGAGCAGAAGGCATCGAAAGCACGAATCGAATTTGGCATAAAAGAAAGCAGTTCAAGACGCCCACGGAAAAAACCTCAAATGCTTTCGAATATTCATCGAAGCTCAAATGCAAATTTTGTGCTCGTGAACATCGTCCAGGGAAAACAAATTGCCCGGTTTATGGAAAGAAATGTCGACAGTGTTTAAAGTGGAACCATTTTCAAGTTTGTTGCCATGAGAATCGAAGAGGCCAAGAGCGGATGCAAGACAATAATCAAATTTCTCGCGCTGAATCAACAAAGCGAAACGCACAGATAATACGTAATCAAGTAAGACCTTGACAAGTGAATACGGTGCAAGAAATTGCGTCCGAATCGAGTATGGAAGATGAATATGTATTCTAAACGTTGACGGCGCAACAAAAGCTGCCGAAATTTAAAGTTAAGATAAATGGTACTCCTGTGTCAGTCATGGCAGATACCGGTTCCAGCGTAAATCTCTTGGATGAAGTGAATTTTAACAAATTGAAGAAAAAGCCAATATTGCAGGAAGCAAATGAGAAAATCTTTCCTTATCGGTCGAAAAAACAACTATCAATTAAAGGAAAATGTCAGTGTGTGGTCGAAACCGACAATCTTTTTTTGTAATGACAACGTTCTACAGGATCCAAGAACTGACCGTTTGACCCATCACTAACAAGCATATAACACAAATGACAAACGCATTTCGGCTTCTCGTTGCCAGGCATGTATGTGTCAGTCGAACGATTCGACGGAATTTAACCAAGTGTCTCCATCATGTCCTCCACACACGATCAGCTTAACTTTTCCGGTGAGGAAGTTAGACTTTTCTGTTTTTTCTTTCATCCAGGATTGCGAGTATTCTACGCTCAGTCTCACTTGATTTACATCATGCCACATGGATAATGTTCGACTCAATTACTCTGTCACATGGCTCTTCGTTTCATTTTAATTACTTTTCATCTTTTCTAGAACTTGCGTTATTTGTTCATGAACCTGCAAGGACAGTTTCCCTTGACTCCCCCCCCTCTTGTATAAGTTAGCTTCACTTGCTCCTTCATATTCAACTAATCTTGCATACCTCTAACGCTGTTCTGGTAAGAAAAATTGAGTGTATTCTTAACATATCCGATATTACTGAACTATTTGCTACACTTTGTAATACTCCAGACACTAATTTTAGAAGCACTTCGTTTTCGATGTGGAAGCTGCTTCACTACATGTCACAAACTTTTTCGTTTGCAAACAATTTTGTTAATTTGGTGACAGTTGTCACCTAATGCGTTACCAAGGTAAAGAAATTATTTTATAAAATGTTGTCATTTCACGGATATGAAACAAATTTACGTGTTAAGTATAAATGAGAAGGCAAACAGCATAATATGACGTTTGAGGTAACATGGGCTACCACTTCACGATAAAAAGCAATTAACGAATAATGTGGAATTGAAATAAAATACCTGCCAGCTATAATGTATGCACGATAAAGATGAATTATTATCATTTCAATTACGACATTTTGGCGTAAAAACTACGCAAATATCATTGCCACTCCATGAGTGTAATATTGCTTTCTTTTAATTTTCAAAAATTTGAAGCCGGAAGTAGACAGCTATAATTATATGTGGCGCCATATTGAACAGTCCCACTCGTAAAAATAACCGATAGTAAATAATCGCGATAATAATGAATTTTGGAGCAAATTGCACTTATACACCCTATCTTTCAACGCGAAGCTAGAAGCATTCTCTTTCTATATTATCTCCATGGAAGTTAAGGCCAATGTTGAAGCTATTTTTTTAGGTAGACTCAGCCCTTTACAAAATATTTTTACTAAAATTGTTTCTGTTTTGACTACATAATTTTAGCACGAACACCCCAATTATAAGACCTAAAAGCAATTGCTATCAGAAGTATAATAATCAAATTTGATATTTCTATAGTTTGAATATCAAATTTGATATTTCTAATATATAATACAAGACATATTAAAACATTGTGGGAAAACATGACAATACCCATTGACGTTCTGAAAAACAGCACGTTTTTTTCTGCTTTTTCTGTGTTATTGAAAGTTCTGTGTAAATTCAAGATGTGAGAAAAAACCCGACACCAAATCATTTTTTCACAATCTTCTACCGCCAAGAAGCAAAACAAACATCATCCGCCAAAAAAACACCTATTATTTCTGGGGAAGGAGTTTGAAAAACCTTAGATGTATTTTGGCTTCAGCCAATCATGGGACAAAACTGTAGGAGTTAGCGTTCCAGATACATTTACTTCAATGATATTAACTAGATGGAGCAAGGGACCTGGACCCTGTTGTCAAAAACATCGCGGTAATGGCAGAGTTTGGTTGTCAAAACTTCTCCTATAAGAAATATTTTTAATATTTGCACCCTCTGGAATCCAGATTTCTATTGACGCTTATACTAATGACAACCAGTGATAACAACCACGATACCGAAGCATAATGTTTTCAATTGAAAATAATCCTTCAGGATTTTTGAAATAGACAGATACATTAAAATGAGAAATATGTACGGTAAATTAACGTATATTTTGTCAAATATTGTTTTGTCTATAATAGAAATAAACATCAAACGGTAATTGACATAACGACATAATCGACGTTCTTTTATTTCTTTAGTACGACTGTCAATATTGTGAAGCTTGTTTGACTGCTTGTAAACAGTTTGGTGCAACTGTCTTTTTTGAATAGATGGATACATCCTAGTTAAAATGTCCAAAAAGGAGTGGGAAAAAGTTTGCTTGCCCTTAAGACTGAAGTCAACTGGAAATATATCCAGAATAAAAATATATAGGTATCTAGTTTTTTTGAGTTATTTTCGGCGGATTGACTTTGGGGTTATAACGTAATGATATTCTGATAAATCTATTGAAAACTTATAAAGAAAATGTCTTGAACTTGGAGAGCAAAAGAGCAAAATTCAAAATACTATGATCATCTTCCTGGATGAAAATTTCTGATTTGATCCAAGAACTAATTGGTGCAACCATGGATCTACTATTGAACAGAAGTACATTCAATTCTCGTTGAAAATATTATATCTGAAATCAAAAAGCATTGATTTCTCTTACATAACACATTGTTTATTGTTTGTTTATTGCCACATGAGCAGAAGCCTAACCAGAACATCAATTGAGGTGTGTATATTCATATGTTCAGTTGTGCCCTACTGATTTTTTTTAAAAATCAATTCACTTTCAAAAGAAATCAGTAGGGCACAACGAAATGAATGTGAATATGCACCCACCCCCCAAATAAATAATCTTTGTGCCCTGTAAATCTTATTGGTCTGATGGTCTCTAAACTTATCATTCGTGAGTTTTAAAAAACATGCATGTCGTGACATACACTTTTATGCAATAACATGAGCTTGCACGTATTCTTTGTTCAACTGGTTATGTTGATTAATCTTTGAAATTTCCTTCATCACTTTTCACAATGCTTAGCAGGTAAATTGTCTTTTGAAGCGTAAGATTAAAACAGATAATCATGGAAAACTTTGAACGCATATGGCTCTCACGTGACACTTATGTGAAAATACATGTGAACAATGATAATGCAACACTTTGCAAAGCGTAAGCAAACATCTAGATCTATTTACTCCATACGACAACGATAAGCATTAAAATGATTAATCTTTGTGCTTCCTGATACATTTAACATAAATACGTAAGGTGTAACAGAAAATTCTTGCAAGCAATTTACTCTTTAGTTTTGATATGAAGGAAGGGGAGAACATATTCGTACATGGATGTTCTGCCGTATTACGTGTCCTTGAAACCATTATTTTCTACTGATTAAGATATGCACATACATGAATTGGTGCGTACCTCCCCCCCCCCCGAATTGATAAATTTGCTACGTCAATGCTAAACAAATTTTTTATATTTCCTTCATGTGGACGTTGCCATCGGCTAACTTTCAGCAACGTTTTTATACCTTACTATTTACAGCGGTGTGGACTTGCATGCAATTTCAATGTATTTGGTTGATGAAATTATTGTAAAACTATCCTAGTTAAAACTTTTCTTTTCAATTAAAAGCAAAATATGCACTATTTTCACAACGAAAATAAGAATTTACAGGCAAGCCACGTTAAAATGCTAATTTTATCATTCCTTTACAATAATTGCACAGGTTTGGTGTGTATATAGTGATTACAAAGAATTGAACACGGATTTTGTGAGTACAACTGTGATATTTACATATGTCAATATTTTTACTATCACTAATAAAAATAATATATAATACAAAATCTAAACTGTTTAAGTAGTTCTCGGGTTTTCACAGTAAACGAATCCATTCAAATGTTACCTTACGGATTAACAACATCTTTCTTGTGACTTTCTTAGCTTTCGCCTCATTTGTCATGTGTTGGCCGTAATATGAAAGTGCTATTGTCAAAAATAATAATGATTTCACTTGATAAAGGTTTGGCAAGTAAAATACCACTGCATAGTTGAAGGACTCTTGTTTTTTGCACAGGAACAAAGTGCTAGTCTGCGGTTTAGCACCACAAAAGGTCGTTTTTGGTTAGCAATAAGGTTAGGATTTTAGTCAGCGTCTAAGGTGTCCGTCACAGTACAGGAACATACTGTAGTATCACTCTATAGAAAATTTTGTGTAGTACATAACGTATTACGCATGTGATTAGCATAGTGGCAGCCAGTAAGTAGTGTCTTGGGACCAATAGGAGCGCTTCGGTCACTTGCCGCAGTAAGTAGACTAATCAATCAAATATACAGCACCAAGTTGAACAGTAGAGTGAGACTACTGTTTGTTTCTATACTGTGGTGTCTGCTAATAATGTTTTGCATATTTCGTCCTGATATGTCTCATGACGCACATGTTGTTTCGTTACCAAAACTCCAGAGTTAAGGTTCGCTTTTAAACATTTAGCAATTTACAATGTGCTTTTATGCGCACTCAATGAGAAATACAGCCACCTTTTGCTAAGACGTGGAATTTTACATGGGAAAAAAAGGCAATTGAGCCTTAATCTTAAAGAAGTAATGGCCTTCTGTTTATCTCCGTTTCTTAAGTTGAGGGCTGCGAATTTTAAACTTATCTGTTGAAACTCAAACGCAGAATCGTCGCAGGAAATTTCTTGTCAAACCAAAATTGAACCTACGTACAGACGAAGTTAATCGTTTTAGGCTTACACATCTTTTGTGGAGAAAGCAAAGCTTTTTGCAGTGTTTGCAAGAGAATGCGACATAAATGCAGGGTTTTTTATATGAATGTTACATGTGAAACTGCACGTGTTGAAAGTTATGGAGTTATCTGACCACGAGTATCTATAACTGGAATCAACGCTTCAATAACAGTGTTTGCTTAACATTGTTGAAATTACTGAAGGAGCTCCCAAGTATAAATTAATATTGTAATGCGAACAAAGAAAAGGTGAAAATTCGTGTTGATAAATGAATATATGCACCTCAACATGCTGTGTTTTATATACAAAAATTCTTTTCTTATCGTCTTTATGTCTGGTCGATATTACAAGATGACCAAAAATACTTTCATTTAAATAATAAAACATCAACTTGTATATACATTATTCTAGATTGGTCGTCGACGATAATAGATTTGTTTTGTGTTTTCTATATTGAAAAACTAAGAGTATATTACATGACACAGCCGACGCTTTTCGAAGGTCGCTTCAGCGGTTTTTATTTGTGCAAAAATATATAATGTTCTGACGGTCTGACCGAATTCCGTTTCATTGATCTCTATGTATATATGGTTGTACTAAATGTATACAACATAAATTTCGATAATTACATAGCAAATTTTTCGTCCCTCTGTTTTATTGACAATAAATAGAACTATATCATGAAAGCATTCAAATATAGGCAAATACAGGCTTTGTAAGTGAATGCAAAATCCATTGGCAAAATAAAAGAAACTTTATGCAGTTAACTTGCATTTTGTCCATTTCGGTTTACACTTGCCAAAGTAGGTTAGTGAGTAAACTGTATGGCAGAAACCTAATATATAAATGTATGTTCTTGTTAGTGAAAATAAGCATAATTCATAATGCAAGTGACTCGAAATACATAAATAATGGCATGTGCACTGTTAAATAACAACAATACAACGCTTGCTTTGACTTGTCTGTTGCTAAGTTTGCATTTGTTCAAACTAAAGAGAGTTCCAGCAATTTAATAAAAATTTAATACATGATATAATGCAAACTGTGTTTGTCAAACTATTTCATTGTATGACCATATTTATCTGCAAAGCTATCCAAGTGATATGTATGATTTACGGCTTTTAGTGACAAAGTAAAAGCTGTAGCTAGTTGTGCATTTGTAGCAGAAGGATTGTAACAACAGGATTGTTCACTCGAATGTCTCAAATAAAAAGCACGAGTGTCGACAATGGAAATGTAACATTCGGCTGGAATCTTCGCTTCAACTGATATCGATTTCTCATGGTAAAACAGAGCTTAAGAAACTTTGAAGCAAGATCAAAATTTGCCCGCAAATAAAAAAACGTGCAAATTCATCTTTATAATTAAAAACGTATTCCACAAGCTGCATTTTATTCAAATTTATATAGTCGAAAATTTAAAGAGTAATATCATTGGTTGAAAATTGCCATAGGAAACTGTTATCTTATTATACAATATAACAATACAAAAATAAAGTTTTCATATGATAAGACCCAGACTCAACCTCTTGTATAGTGAAGAATCGCTTGAAATAGAGCTGCTAAAGAATAAGGATTCTGACGGACAGCAGCAAATTTGGCAAACAATTCCAACTGTTAAGCAAAAGGTAGCTATCCACCTTTTATTCAAATACAATCCAACGTAGAAAAGACAAAAATGCTCACTGAAAACCTCATTTACTGCTATGTGTCCTATGGAGAAAATAAAGCATTTTAACATATAGTTGGAAGATGGGAGGTATATTCATATATTTATGTCCCGCTGTATTAAGTTCCTGCGTGTTAGAACATGCAAACATGAATATTGACCACTACCCCCAACTATCAGGGCCATCTACGGCTTTCGTCATGTATTGACTTCTTCAAATATATCGCTCTAATAGAGCCATTTGGTGTTAATAAAAAGTACAAGCAGACACTGCAACTAAAACTTTGGTATAGCTTGATTACATTTTCACAATTGGTAAATTATCAATCTTATCACAAACAAATTAAGGTTCTTTAATCTCCTTCATTCTCGCAAATCTTATACAAATATTTTATGTGAAATTTCATGTGTCACAATTTGAATGAATGCCAAAAGATTAAAAAATTCTGCAGATTTGATTAGATAACGTTTCATACTAATGCAATATTGAAATGGCTCTGCTAAATTGCTTTTCAATGTTTATTTTACTTGAAAAAGACGTAGAATGACGCCAGCAAAAAAAGACATTTCTAACATGGAAAGGAAATATCAATATGCAATATTCGATATTCAGGAGAAAATTGTCTCGAAATTTTACAAAAAGATTTGAGTCATGGAAGTGGAGAATTTTTGATAGCTCTAAAAGGACAGAGCGTATTTAAAGTGAACTGTGACATGACTTCATTTGGAGGTGACATAAAAAAAGAATTGAAGACCACTCCAAGTATTGGTTATCGGGTCGATTGCAACCATATACCAGTAAGTTAATATGTCCTTAAAAGAAAATCATAATAATTTCAATATAACTTAGTGGAGTGACAAGTCTGTTTAGTAATAGGTTCAAATAAGAAAGTGTGATTGAATAGCAATATTAGTCAATAAAAGGGTTACATAAGGTGAACCATTATTACAAATTATTAGCTACTTTAAGTTCACTTTATTAAGTTTAACAGCGTCATGTTTGTTAATGAAAATTCCAAATCCAAAGCAGCGTTTACTAGAGACGGATCAACAAAGATACGAAAACTTAAGTCATTGCTTTTATACGTTAGCTCCTTGCAGGCTACTTGAGTGCTTTCTATTTCATTTTTAAACTGCTAACGCTTTGTTACTTGTAGCTCAAACTTTGGTTTTGTTTGATTAAGCACTTTAAATTAAACAAAGTGACTTCATTGATCGATCATGCTTCAGTGCAAATACCAGACTGAAATTAGTATTTGTGAATTTTGAACCAAAATATATTGCATCACTCATCATCAAAAGGTGGGGAGGGGGGGAGTCTCAAGCTACACTGTAGTAATTTTCTTCCATATAAAAAATTTGTGTTTTTCAGATTAGAATTTAATGTAACTTTTAAATCCTAGTATAGAGTAACGTTGGTTTGATATTGGGAAAATCTGCATTGTGAGTTAATATTCAAACAAACGATATATCATTATTCTTTTGCTTATATAAAAAACTTTGATGAACTCAACCAAAACAGATGCGTAATTGACAATAGTATGTTAAAGAAAGACAAATTTGCTGTGTGAAATTTTCACTATCCTCGGATCTCTTTCTCTTATAACGAAGGAAGTGCTTTGGGCCTGACGATCTCATGACGAAGAAAATTTTCGGATGATTTGTCACGTGTAAGACGCACGTGTAAACATCATGCGACAATTATTGCCACGTTCAGACAGTTCTGTAAAAAGTGCTGAAGGAAATTTTAAAGTAAACAAGATATGATAATTTAATCAAATAAAACGAGTATATTCATGCTAATAAGTTACTTTGTGTGTCGCGACATAGTGAGTGTCATAAAAATTCATAAAAGATAAAATAAGGGACCAATAAAATTGGTGGAAAATGGCTGAAGGAAGCAGTCGATGGATTATAATTTACAACTTAAAAATAAGACTTTTCATCACAGAGCACACAAACTGAACCTTTCGTCGAGGGTAGGCTCAAGTAAGAAAAAGACCTGCTGAAAGCATCAATAGCAAAGACAAAAATGGTTCTAACGGTGATTCTGGTAACAACAATAGTGATGATGATAAATAATATCGTTAACGTAAACGCAGTAAGTACAATAAAGTAATTCATCTATTTTATGTTAAAATTTATTTTAGTCCTGTATTAGTGATCTCTTGTAAAGAATTCAATGTTTTTTACATAGATTCTGTGATATGAAATGAAGCACCTAGGTTTATATTTTATAAATTACGAAAAAAAAGTTTTGTTAAGTGAATTTTATTGTAATGGATTACTCATACATTAAATTTTGAAAAAATTCAATGATTTAGAACACTGTTTGATTTACAAGGCCATAGCGCACTGTACCTGAATTTTACATTTATATTAACAGATATTAAGTCAGTACATCGCAGCCGACAGATGCTTGGCAAGTCAAAACAGAATGTATAGAGTTACCCTTCAAATATGCGAAAAAGGATTATGGCGGCCGGCAGTTAAACTGCCCAAAAGCTCACCGAAAGGTATTGATAATATTTTGCCATAAACAACGTTCCTAAAACTCAAGAAATTTCAAAAAAATTGACTTCCTTTTGTTTTACTTGATGTCCTCGTGTTTCCCAATCATAGCCTTTTTAATGAAGTAATTTACATGAAGTACAATCAGAACGAAAAACATATACAAACGAAATTACACGAATTAGTCTGATATTTGAGTTTGCATGCATTAAATGTTTAGTATGGAGGATATCAAATGGTTCAAGGTAAGTTGACCAAGACAGTTGGAACGCTGCCCAAAACAATTAAAACAGTGGCTTTTGCGAGTGTTCTAAAACAAAATCTGTTCAAACCTCGCACGCAAGAATCTATTCAACTATAACACAACATACTTCAGAAATGTACTTTTGAAGTCATTCTTTCAAGTTCCGTGTGTTTACATGTAAATTCTTACACCCCCCCCCATAACTTTTCCTTGCGAGATTTAAAAGAAACTGTTTGTAAGTCTGACAAGCATTTCTGCTCTTTTATATATTACCAACTTTTAGGTTGAATAAGTTTTAATGCTATAAAATCACCTGGATAAAAGAATATCTATGCTCAAACATAGGGAAAGATCAAACAATTTGAGATATACACTTTGTCATTATGAAAAAATAAGATAATAAACAATTATTGGATAAGGTTATAAGCATGATATCAAAAATTATTCAGACCGGGGTCAACACTATCTGCCAAATCGATGCTGAGCCTTTGTGCCTGACATAAGGTCAAATTACTAACTACAGTAAAATTTTCAGGTAAAAGTTGTCTCGACATTTTACGAAAAGGTTTGAGTCATGGAAGTGGAGAATATTTGATTGCTCCAAAAGGACAGAGCGCATTTAAAGTTTACTGTGACATGACGTCATTTGGAGGTGGCTGGACCGTGTGTTACGCAACTGATGGTTTCGTTGACATAAAAAAAGAATTGAAGGCCACTCCAAGTATTGGTTATCGGGCCGATTGCAACAATATACCAGTAAGTTGATATGTCCTTAATAGAAAATCATAATATTATCAATATAACTTAGTGGAGTAACAAGTCTGTATAGTAATAGGTTCAAATAAGAAAGTGTGATTGAATAGCATTACTAGTCAATAAAAGAGTTATATAAGGTGAACCATTATTGAAAATTTTTAGTTACTTTAAGTTTACTTTATTTAAGTTTAACAGCGTCATGTTTGTTAATGAAAAATCCAAATCCAAAGCAGCGTTTACTAGAGACGGATCAACAAAGATAACAATTAACGACAGTTTTAACAAAAAAGGAAGTGCGTTTGGACTTTGGACCGCAAAAGGTATCGCTTCGTCGTCTTACAAATATCAATTATTGGTTTGCGATACTTCATTTTACAAAGGTTTAATGATCTCTGGTTACACAAAGTGCTATAAAAAGTGCGATGATTGGTGTAACGACTACTCATCACCATATTTCCGTTCTCAAAGCTCTTCAAAATCTTACGCTGGCGTAGCGTTCAATGAAAATGGCGCTAAACCACTTAAAAAACGCCTGATCAGTGTTGCAATTCGTTGAGATGTATCATACAACGATATTAAAAACTAGGTACTAGTATTATCTATATTCAGTCTGCTGTTTATTGCTGCTCAACATATTTAGTTGTAGCTCATATTTGACCAAGCACTGATTTTAGTCAGTTTGAACCTTGTTCAGTTACATAAACTATGTCATTGCTTTTATAGGTTTTCTACTTGCAGGCTACTTGAGTGCATTCTATTTCATTTTTAAACTGCTAACGCTTTGTTACTTGTAGCTTAAACTTTGGTTCTGTTTGATTAAACAATTTAAATTAAACAAAGTGACTTCATTGATCCATCATGCTTCAGCCCAAATAGCAGACTGAAATTAGTATTTGTGAATTTTGAACCAAAATATATTGCATCACTCATCATCGAAAGGTGGGGAGGGGGGGAGTCTCAAGCTACACTGTAGTAATTTTCTTCCATATAAAAAATTTGTTTTTATCAGTTCAGAATTTAATGTAACTTTTAGCTCCTAGTATAGAGTAACGTTGGTCTGATATTGGAAAAATCTGCATTGTGAGTTTATATTCCAACAAACGATATATCATTATTCTTTCACACATATAAAAAACTTTGATGAACTCAACCAAAACAGATGCGTAATCGACAACAGTATATTAAAGAAAGACAAATTTGCTTTGTGAAACTTTTACTAATCTCGGAACCCCTTTCTCTTATAACGAAGGAAGTGCTTTGGATCTGATGGTCTCATGAAGAAGCTCTATGAGAAAATACAGAATTGTTCGGATGATTTGTCTCGTGTAAGACGCACGTGCAAACATCATGTGACAGTTATTATATATGTGGCATAAAAGGACGTTTAAAGTGCCACGTTCAGACAGTTTCGTAAAAAGTGCTGAAGAAAATTTTAAAATAAACAAGATATGATAATTTAAACAAATAAAACAAGTATATTAATGCTAATAAGTTACTTTGTGTGTCGCGACATAGTGAGCTTCATAAAATTCATAAAAAATAAAATAAGGGACCAATAGGACTGGCGGAAAATGGCTAAAGAAAACAGTCGATAGATTATAATTTGCAACTTAAAAAAAAGACTTTTCATCACAGAGCACACATACTGAACCTTTCTTCGAGGGTAGGCTCAAGTGAGAAAAAGAAATGCTAAAAGCATCAATGGCAAAGACAAAAATGGCTTTAACGGTGATTCTGGTAACAACAATAGTGATGATGATAAATAACATTGTTAACGTAAACGCAGTAAGTACAACTAAGTAATTTTTCTATTTTATGTTGGCATCTATTTTAATCGTGTATTAGTAATATCTTGTAAAAATTCATTGTTTGTTATATACATTTTGTTGTTTGAAATGAAGCACCTAGGTTTAAAATTTATAAATTACTGAAAAAAAAGCGAATTTTATTATAATAGATTAATCATATATTAAATTTGGAAAGAATTATTTCAGTGATTTTGATAACTGTTTAATTTACAAGGCCATGACGCTTTATAGCTACCTGAATTTTACATTTATATTAACAGAAATCAAGTTTGTACACTGCAGCCGACAGATGCTTATCAAGTCAAAACAGAATGAATAGAGTTACCCTTCAAATATGCGATAAAGGATTCTGGAAGCCGGCAGTTAAACTGCCTAAAGGCGCACTGAAAGGTGTTCATAATACTTTGCCACATATTCAACGCTTCTACATGTCTGTAAACTTAAAAAAAAATTAACTTTCTTTTTTTTCACTTGATGTCTTTGTGTTTCTCAAACTTGGTCACTTCAGTGAAGTAATTTACATGATGTACATCAGCATAAAATACATAGAATATAGACGAAAATTACACGATTTAGTCTAATAATTGAGTTTGTATGCATTATATGTTTAGCACGGATTACATCAACTGAATGTTTTTCATTGGTTAAGCAGGTTAGCTGCATCGAGTCAGTTACTGGGACAGTTATATTATTTAGAAATGTACTTTTAAAGTCATTCTTTCAAGTTTTGTGTGTTTAATCGTGAAATTCATTCACCACTCCCACCTCCCCCTTTATGGTTTTTCCATGCAAGATTTGAACAAAATTGTTTTGACTTTGAAAGTCAGGCAAGCATACTGCACATGATAATAAAATTCAGCATTTCTAATCTTTTATTTATATTTTGTGCTACCGATTCTTAGGTTAAGTATGTATTTATGTTATAAAATCACTTGGATAAAAGAATTTCTATATATATGCTCGAACTTAAGGAAAGATCAAACAATGAACACTTTGTCATTATGATTAAACTTGATAATAACGAATAGTAGGTTTTCAAAAAATTGTTAAAAAATAAATATTTTGTATATAATTGCACTTCTATCTTTTTTACCGATAGTTACATGTGGTGCATTTTTTAACTAACTCATAATCGTAGTCAGATCTATAATTCGAATGGAAAGCCATATTCTTATATACGTGATCTCATGTCCCTTTAAAATGCATTGCTTTCAACGTATTATTAACCTCCCCACCCCCAACCCCAACACACGCACAATATTACCCAGTTTTCTCCGTCCATGATTTCACATTAGGTGAATTCTGTGAAAAACAAATGCAATCAATAAAATATTATCTGATGATGATGTTACACTGCTTTTAAGCAATTATTGCAGTAAGTTACATATTTTAACATACTTTTTAAAGATATGTTTGGACGCAGCTAAATGAGTCAACTAACATCGCTAATTGTGCCTGACATAAGGTCAAAATACTGACTTATAGTATAATTTTGAGGTGAAAGTTGTCTCGAAATTTTACAAAAAGGTTCAAGCCATGGAAGAGGAGAGTATCTGATTACTCCAAAAGGACAGAGCGCATTTAAAGCTTACTGTGATATGGACTCATTTGGAGGTGGCTGGACCGTGTGTTATAAAACTGATGGATTTGTTGACATAAAGAGTGAATTGAAAAGTACTCCACGTCTTGGATACAGAGCTGATTGCAATCATATTCCAGTAGGTTTTTAACATAAAAGTAACTCGATCATAATAATTTATATGCCTTTGTTTAAAAGGAATTCTTGTAAAGCTACAGATAAGAACAATCCCTCGATTGTCTCATAGGCAAGCAAAATCAGAACAACTTAATCAGAACAACTATCATAATATCATTAATTAGAACAACTATAGTCTAGCATTTTTCATTATATCAATTCATTTCTTCAGTTTAATAGTGTGATGTTTGTCGATGAAAAATCCACTGCCAAAGCAGCGTTTACCCAAAAACGAATCAACGAAGATAACAATTAACGATAATTATGATAAAAGAGCAAATGCGTTCCTACTTTAGACTGCAAAAGGTGTCGCTTCATCGTCATCCAAGTATCGGCTTCTGATTTGCTATACTTCATTTTACAAAGGTTTAATGGTATCTGGTTACACAGACTCGTGTTATAAGAAGTGCGACCATTGGTGTTGGCACTCTGTATCGCCATATTTCCGTTCTGCAAGCTCATCAACACTTTTCGCCGGAGTAGCATTCGATAAAAATGGGCATAAACCATTGGGAAAACGCTTAATCTGTGTTGCTATTCGTTAAAACTGTATAACCAGTTACGTATTAGTATATATAATTCATCACCATTTAGTTTTAATTTTAGCGGTTTTAGTTTTCTTACAGCCTTAGTAAAGAAATAAAGGAGATTTTTTCAATGCAAAACCTGCCATGGAAATTTCATCACAATGCCATTGAGGCTGACAGGCGCATCTTTATGATGCTATTCAGAGGAGCAAGTCTTCCTGTTTTGCTAGTATCAAAAAACATATGATAAAATACGTTGTTACATATCTAACATATGAAAATGATTTTGAAAATTGAAATTTCGGAAATTATTTTTAATTTAAAATGTCATTTTAGAAAAAACAAATTATCCATTGACAATGCATTTTTATGTTGTTTCAACTTTTTGCGGTTGGCACATAGGTTTATATAATAATAAAAAATAAATCATTTGCACTTGTAAAGTTAAAATCCTTCTATGTTTGGACTTACTCTAAACCTCTTGTTTGCATGCACATGCTTCATCAAAATAATCAAACCACATCAATTCTTTGGAGCATTTTGAAAATAGCTATTTGCTTTCAGATATTCCATCAATCTCTAAATTAACTAGCTTACTATCAAATCACTAATTACAACGCTATCAATTAGTCATATCAATATACAATATATTTCATATAATTTTGTGAAGATAAAGAGGCACGTGACGTGCTTTCTGGATTCCTTCAAACAGCACAAAGGCGAAAACCATCTCCTGTCGCAGTTACACTATAAGCAATAAAATTGTAGAAAACTATTGATTATGTTGTCTACCCGCAAAAATTGAGCCTGTTCCAGTGTCGGGTATGTATTTAACTGTGGGGTCATACGTCATATTAGTTATCATACAATGACAGCCACATAAAAAAACCAATATGACGCAAAGTCTGCATAACGAAAGATCCACATAGCTAATAAGGTGACGTGTCATTTTAATTACAATATCACTGCATGTGATGAAAAGATTACAGTACAGAATGACGTATATATTAACCGCTATAATAACAAATTAACAGGACGTAACGGAACATTATCACATATAATAATTCTAGCATTCGATATTTTGTGGTTTCTTTTGTTTCAAAATCGAACTTTGCATTTAAAAGTCAAGAGCAGAGTGGCACTAACCATTTTATATGTCCGAAAAAAGCCACGAGTTTATCGTATCCGGAAATTAATCCCAACATGCAATGCTGTTGGAATAAAACAATCAGCTCTTAAAAACTACAGGTTGTGTCAAAAACATTGGTCGTTTTTGAATTTAATTGACATTTAGAATTTACTTCATTCAGCAGCAGTGATACCCAAGGAGGCTTAATGCAAGTGGGATGAAAATACAATTTAACAGATTTTCAAATTTTTTTATACCTATACATGTGAGCCAATATATTTGTCGTGACTGTCAAAACAAGTTATTTTACTTGCTTCATGATAGCAATTCAAATAACACTTACATTTGACAACAGCAAAAAATGACAGATTAGACCCTCCTACATTACCGGAAACATCCATGACGTCATTGACAAACAGCTCTCTAACAAATGATAACAACACAACAACATTTTCTAAAAATGCTTTCAATAAAAAAGGCGTTTTATAGCAAAAAGTCCATTTACACAACTGCTTGAGTGCTTTACAGTTATCTATGCAGTTAAATACAAATACCAAAGGTGGGAAATAAATCAGAAAATGAGCGAAAAAAATAGAACCTTTCAGTAAATTTAATAATCTTTGTTAACAATCATCAAAACTTTACAACAATGCAATTGTTTTGTCTCCGAAAATGATTCATCCCTGTCAGCGTAAATGATAAGAAGTTGAGACTTAGTTCTTGCACCATTGCTTAACCATGCTTGCTGCTTATATGTATACTACCATACAGTTTAGTTTATAAAGTCTGCCAAAATTGTGGGTAAGTTCATAATATACATCTCAAATGCAAAATGAGATTGTTTTACTAGCACGAATCAATAATTAATAATTAGTTTATTATTAAAAATTATTATGATTATTAACCTATTAGAATCAATTAAATTACATGAGTTAAATAATTAATTAATTCTATAATTCATTGAGAAAAAATTAACAAACTTCATTATAGAGTATCGATACTTCTTTGGTTGGCTTCCCTCAGCTTACCGTCAATATTTGGAAAAAGTTCTTCTGTGCTTCCACGGCCAATTTGAACACTGAGCAAATCTAAATTCAAAGAAAGAGCATTGATGAAAAACTAATTGTTTGTAAAAACTAGTATCCATTACTTGAAATCAATCTCCAACACATTCCAGAAGCCATTATCCTAAAAACATCAAACAAACAAGAATAAACAAGTTTATTGAATAAGGGCGTCTTCATATCACAAAATGAACCTAACAACACTCCTAAAGACATGATAATATAAGATGCAGGCGTAAATTTGTGTGAATTTAATGACAAGATACTTTAGGAGTCCATCCACCATATCTTTAAAAATACAATATAGGTAAATACATTTAATCTTCATGAAAAGCGCTTGTTATACAATGACGGTATTTCATCCAGTTTCGTACTGTGATCATTGACCATGATCAATAGATGTTGTAGAAATGATCGCTGAAATCAATTTTTGTACATGCAATTGAGATGTGCAAAATATAATTAAAAGGTTAACTCACCGCAACACAACTTGGAAGGCAATGTAATCTACGATCCCTTCGCTCGATATTCCCATTCTTCAGTACATTGAATTGGTAAAGATGATTGAACTTTGCCTTAGGTAAACTGAAGTCTTTATTATGATACAAAACATCGATAACAGATTTCAGAAACACAAAGTCGTTATATAATATGACCTGGATAATTGATAAGACCAAAGGCTCTATCACCTAGCACGTAAAACAAATTTTGTTCTTAATGTAATAGCTAACATCAAGGACAAAGAACAACTTAATTAACGACAACTCATCTTAACTCTCACGATAACTTCCGCTAAGTTTGTCGAAACGTCATCAAACATCAACATCCTTCTCAGGACTATACAAACCTGGACGATCTACATCCACAGACATGTTACGACAGATCCTCGAACATGAACGCTTTTGTCATTTCACGTAGATATTGCCTTTGAAAAGTAATTAAAAACACAAAACATACCTCGTTTGTCCGAGCTTTAGGAAAGCTTTCATGAGTAAAAAAGATTCTTTAAACAATGTTTGAATAAAACGATGACTATAGAGTTTGGCTATTTTTTTAAGGAGGATAAGTTTAGTTTTCTTCTCGTTAATCAAAGTGAACAGTCTTTCATTGATATCTTTAATAGTGTATAATAGTAATGAATCAGAGAATCATCAGACGTTTCCTGCAACCGTTGTTACTCTTTTACTAAGTATAAAAATGCTTTAAGCTATTGGAAGTACTAGAAAATAGATTTTACATCTTTCTGCTAGAAAACATATTTTAGCGTCACTAAAGATGAAATTAACAAAGCACGACAAACAGGAACTCCGCGAGAAACATTAAGTGTTTCTATCTGATGCATATAAGGATGAAATTAAAGTTTAAAGTTGCTTTCAATCTCGGTACAACCGCATCCTCATGCAATTTTTATGTATGTGAAATGAAAAGAGAGACTTACCAAATTCAACAAGTTTATTATTCTTTGATCGCCAGCAGCGACATGCTTAGCATAAAATCTAATCAATCATTAATATTAATTATGATTAATTATCAATTATGGTCGATAATGAACGTCGTGATTCAGTCAACAAGAAATAAAAACGTATAAAGGGCAGAGAAATGTCACATAAATGATACATATCTTGTTATAAATGTTATGATTATAATATTTTATTTATTATTCATGAAACAAAAACATAGAAATTTAGAAATTCCTTGACTTTCTTTTATATAAAAAAGAATGTAAAAGCTTAAATGGTTTTAATAAATACACATTTGAACAAATCGATCTAAGGCAAATTATTTATTGAATTTAGTTGGATAACATACACTTAATAATTTAGTCAACACATTGTTTAATGATTACTACTACATACGAGTTCTCCATTGTGAAGAAATTACTGAAAAGATCTTATCTTACTTTGAGTATACTACCACGAGTGTGATAATTATTGAATGAGTAATTATAATCTAATTTAATATAAAATGTTGGTGCAGTCTTGATTGTGATTGGCTAAGAGCCTACACATAATTCTTGATGTTTTACCACCCACTAAACATTGAAAATTATCTGTAGCTGACGTAATTTTAATTGTGACAACTGTAAACACAAAAGGTATATTTGCAAAATTTTCTCGAGATTTGCAAAACGTTTCACCAACTGTTTTCGTTTTAAAGAAGTAAAAAACACCGAAAGGGTTACAATGTCAGTCAGGAGAGTTTTCGCCAAGTATTTACTGAGAAAAGACGAAAGAAAACAGCAAAAATTATCTAGTGTTGAAGCACTGAAAACTTTATGGCTTTAGTGCAAAATAGTAGGAAAGCTTCGGCATTATTAATTGCATAATAAAACAATTACTGAATTCAGGTTTCGCATGATATCAAGAATAATTCAGGCCATGGTCGACTTTATCCGCCTCAACTTCGCTTTTATAGATAACATTGACCTCTGTCTGAAAAGTTCTTGATGTCATGCTCAACCTCATCCAATAATTTTTAATTGTTAAATGCTTTACTTGCCATGTAAAAAGTCATGATTATACGTCAAACTGTGGGTAACAGTGATGCAGTTGGTAGAAATCGTTTGTTCTTCATTGGAGGTAGTTCTTTCCACACTTTCTCTCTTAGATCTAGATATTCAACAGAATCAAGATACTCTTCCTCATTCTTTCCGCCAACTACAACAATAATATTTTCATCGATAACAGCTGCGCATCCATATCTTTTATGATTGAGATGTGGAAGTCTTTCACATTCTTCTGTTTTCAAGTCATACTTGAGGACAACATCTAATGTTCCACCTTTTACATTAATACCTCCAATCAAGATTGCCTTATCTCCATACCTTACAATAGCCATGTTACTAACAGCATACGGAAGTGAGTTGAGGTTTTGGGATGCGTCATAAGTCAGATTGTAAGAAAAAACACTGTCTTCAATGTCTTCATTTTGGTTCGATGTCCTTCCATCAAAAACCAAAACTTGATCATCGATGATAAGCGAGCCATGACAGTATCGTCGCTATGGCATAAATGTCAAAAAGTATGTTTTGTACGGATTTTTTACTGAAATGGCTTGAATCTCCTTCGATACTTCTGGAGGTCTCATTCTGTTCAGTCCACCGGTCATAACAATTTTGTCATTCCAATAAATTACTTTATGCCCTTTGCATGGTTTTGGCATTTTAATTTCAGTCTTTATCCACTCAGAACGTTCAACATTCAGACTTTCCACACTATTAGGACATTTCTTCCCATTTGACCACCGGTTACAAAGATATTTCCATCATGAACAAACGCAGCAGCACCACAACGTTTCTCTGTCATATTTTTCTCTTCTTTCCAAGTATTTTCATTAATGTAAAATGACTCTACGGACTCTAAACTGCCATATTCATTTTCCACTCCACATACTATGATGTCAAATTTTCCTGCGAGAAAATCAGAAGATGATTTATCTTCATCGTGTGAATCGTGTGCTGATGCATTATTTGTAACTTTTCTAATTAGTCTCAGCAATCCATTTCAGCAAGCCATTTCAGTAAAAAATCCGCACAAAACATACTTTTTGACATTTATGCTACAGCGACGATACTGTCATGGCTCGTTTAACATCGATGATCAGGTTTTGGTTTTTGATGGAAGGTTATCGAACCAAAATGAAGACATTGAAGACAGTGTTTTTTCTTACAATCTGAAATATGACACATCCCAAAACCTCAAATCACTTCCGTATGCTGTTAGTAACATGGCTCTTGTAAGGTATGGAGATAAGGCAATCTTGATTGGAGGTATTAATGATGCAGGTGAAGTATTAGAAGATGTCCTGATGTATGATTTGAAAACAGAACAATATGAAAGTCTTCCATCTCTCAATCGTAAAAGATATGTGCAGTATAGTTATTATGTAAATTATTAGTATTTCGTACGTTATACTACGTATATTATAATTAAGTAAAGATCTGTATAAAAGTAACATGACTAAGCAATAGCAGGGAGAAATCTCACAATATTAAATCTGGCGACAAAGACATGACAGCTTTGCCTAGCTTCCCGACGTTCAACTTAGAAGAACCAGACCTTAAAAAGCTTAGGGAAAATAACGTATCAAGATTGGAGAATTTGTTGTTGGTAATGAACATTACAAACGCCGCAAGAAAGAAGGCGATGCTCCTGCACTATCTCAGTAAAGAAGTTAATGTGATATTCGAAACTTTAGAAATTGACGAGCCAGATAGAGAAGAAGATGTATTTAGAAAAGCGGAGAAAGCGTTACGAAATTACTTCACTCCACAGAAGAATATAGAATTCGAAGTTTATAAGTTTCGTCAAGCGAAACAACTCCCAGGAGAAAACATATCCGCGTACTATACGAGATTGAAACAATTGGCTAAATCCTGCGAATTTCATGAAGAAAGAAGAGAGATAAAAACTCAGATCATACAAAATGGTTTGTCTTCAAAATTGCGGAGAAAAGCGTTAGCAGACCCCGAAATAACGATGGAGAAATTACTACAAATGGGAAAAACAATGGAGATGTCAAAAACACGAGCAGAAGGCATCGAAAGCACGAATCGAATTTGGCATAAAAGAAAGCAGACGCCCACGGAAAAAACCTCAAATGCTTCCGAAAATTCATCGAAGTTCAAATGCAAATTTTGTGCTCGTGAACATCGTCCAGGGAAAACAAATTGCCCGGTTTATGGAAAGAAATGTTGACAGTGTTTAAAGTGGAACCATTTTCAAGTTTGTTGCCATGAGAATCGAAGAGGCCAAGAGCGGATGCAAGACAATAATCAAATTTCTCGCGCTGAATCAACAAAGCGAAACGGACAGATAATACGTAATCAAGTAAGACCTCGACAAGTGAATACGGTGCAAGAAATTGCGTCCGAATCGAGTATGGAAGATGAATATGTATTCTCAACGTTGACGGCGCAACAAAAGCTGCCGAAATTTAAATTTAAGATAAATGGTACTCCTGTGTCAGTCATGGCAGATACCGGTTCCAGCGTAAATCTCTTGGATGAAGTGAATTTTAACAAATTGAAGAAAAAGCCAATATTGCAGGAAGCAAATGAGAAAATCTTTCCTTATGGGTCGAAAAAACAACTATCAATTAAAAGAAAATGTCAGTGTGTGGTCGAAACTGACAATCTTTTTTTGTAATGACAACGTTCTACAGGATCCAAGAACTGACCGTTTGACCCATCACTAACAAGCATATAACACAAAGGGCAAACGCATTTCGGCTTCTCGTTGCCAGGCATGTATGTGTCAGTCGAACGATTCGACGGAATTTAACCAAGTGTCTCCATCATGTCCTCCACACACGATCAGCTTAACTTTTCCGGTGAGGAGGTTCGACTTTTCTGTTGTTTCTTTCATCCAGGATTGCGAGTCTTCTACGCTCAGTCTCACTTGATTTACATCATGCCACATGGTTAATGTTCGACTCAATTACTCTGTTACATGGCTCTTTGTTTCATTTTGATTACTTTTAATCTTCTCTAGAACTTGCGTTATTTGTTCATGAACCTGCAAGGACAGTTTCCCTTGACTTCTCTTGTATAAGTTAGCTTCACTTGCTCCTTCATATTCAACTAATCTTGCATACCTCTAACGCTGTTCTGGTAAGAAAAATTGAGTGTATTCTTAACATATCCAATATTACTGAACTATTTGCTACACTTTGTAATACTTTAGACACTAATTCTAGAAGCACTTCGTTTTCGATGTGGAAGCCGCTTCACTACATGTCACAAACTTTTTCGTTTGCAAAGAATTTTGTTAATTTGGTGACAGTTGTCACCTAATGCGTTACCAAGGTAAAGAAATTATTTTATAAAAATGTTGTCATTTTACGGAAATGAAACAAATTTACGTGTTAAGTATAAATGAGAAGGCAAACAACATAACATGACGTTTGAGGTAACATGGGCTACCACTTCACGAGAAAAAGCTATTTAACGAATAATGTGGAATTGAAATAAAATACCTGCCAGCTATAATGTATGCACGATAAAGATGAATTATTATCATTTCAATTACGAAATTTTGGCGTAAAAACTACGCAAATATCATTGCCACTCCATGAGTGTAATATTGCTTTCTTTTAATTTTCAAAAATTTGAAGCCGGAAGTAGACAGCTATAATTATATGTGGCGCCATATTGAACAGTCCCACTCGTAAAAATAACCGATAGTAAAGAATCGCGATAATAATGAATTTTGGAGCAAATTGCACTTATACACCCTATCTTTCAACGTGAAGCTAGAAGCATTCTCTTTCTATATTATCTCCATGGAAGTTAAGGCCAATGTTGAAGCTATTTTTTTAGGTAGACTCAGCCCTTTACAAAATATTTTTACTAAAATTGTTTCTGTTTTGACTACATAATTTTAGCACGAACACCCCAAATATAAGACCTAAAAGCAATTGCTATCAGAAGTATAATAATCAAATTTGATATTTCTATAGTTAACAAGACATATTAAAAAATTGTGGGAAAACATGACAATACGCATCGACGTTCTGAAAAACAGCACGTTTTTTACTGCTTTTTCTGTGTTATTGAAAGTTCTGTGTAAATTCAAGATGTGAGAAAAAACCCGACACCAAATCATTTTTTCACAATCTTCTACCGCCAAGAAGCAAAACAAACATCATCCGCCAAAAAAACACCCATTATTTCTGGGGAAGGAGTTTGAAAAACCTTAAATGTATTTTGGCTTCAGCCAATCATGGGACAAAACTGTAGGAGTTAGCGTTCCAGATACATTTACTTCAATGATATTAACTAGATGGAGCAAGGGACCTGGACCCTGTTGTCAAAAACATGGCGGTAATGGCAGAGTTTGGTTGTCAAAACTTCTCCCATAAGAAATATTTTTAATTTTTGCACCCTCTGGAATCCAGATTTCTATTGACGCTTATACTAATGACAACCAGTGATAACAACCACGATACCGAAGCATAATGTTTTCAATTGAAAATAATCCTTCAGGATTTTTGAAATAGACAGATACATTAAAATGAGAAATATGTACGGTAAATTAACGTATATTTTGTCAAATATTATTTTGGCTATAATAGAAATAAACATCAAACGGTAATCGACATAACGACATAATCGACGTTCTTTTATTTCTTTAGTACGACTGTCAATATTGCGAAGCTCCTAGTTAAAATGCCCAAAAAGGAGTGGGAAAAAGTTTGCTTGCCCTTAAGACTGAAGTCAACTGGAAATATATCGTGAATAAAAATAAAAAGGTATCTAGTTTTTTTAGTTATTTTCGGAGGATTGACTTTGGGGTTATAAGGTAATGATATTCTGATAAATCTATTGAAAACTTATAAAGAAAATGTCTTGAACTTGGAGAGCAAAAGAGCAAAATTCAAAATACTATGATCATCTTCCTGGATGAAAATTTCTGATTTGATCCAAGAACTAATTGGTGCAACCATGGATCTACTATTGAACAGAACTACATTCAAATCTCGTTGAAAATATTATATCTGAAATCAAAAAGCATTGATTTCTCTTACATAACACATTGTTTATTGTTTGTTTATTGCCACATGAGCAGAAGCCTAACCAGAACATCAATTTGGGTGTGTATATTCATATGTTCAGTTGTGCCCTACTGATTTTTTTTAAAAATCAATTCACTTTCAAAAGAAATCAGTAGGGCACAACGGAATATATGAATATGCACCCCCCAAATAAATAATCTTTGTGCCATGTAAATCTTATTGGTCTGATGGTCTCTAAACTTATCATTCATGAGTTTTGAAAAACATGCATGTCGTGACATACACTTTTATGCAATAACATGAACTTGCACGTATTCTGTGTTCAACTGGTTATGATGATTAATCTTTGAAATTTCCTTCATCACTTTTCACAATGCTTAGCAGGTAAATTGTCTTTTGAAGCGTAAGATTAAAACAGATAATCATGGAAAACTTCAAACGCATATGGCTCTCACGTGACACACATGTGAAAATACATGTGAATAATGATAATGCAACACTTTGCAAAGCGTAAACAAACGTCTAGATCTATTTACTCCATACGACAACGATAAGCATTAAAATGATTAATCTTTGTGCTTCCTGATACATTTAACACAAAGTACGTAAGGTCTAACAGAAAATTCTCCCAAGCAATTTACTCTTTAGTTTTGATATGAAGGAAGGGGAGAACATATTCGTACATGGATGTTCTGCCGTATTACGTGTCCTTGAAACCATTATTTTCAACTGATTAAGACATGCACATACATGAATTGATGGTACCTCCCCCCCCGAATTGATGAATTTGCTACGTCAATGCTAAACAAATTTGTTATATTTCTTTCATGTGGGCGTTGCCATCCGCTAACTTTCAGCAACGTATTTATACCTCACTATTTACAGCGGTGCGGACTTGCATGCAATTTCAATGTATTTGGTTGATGAAATTATTGTAAAACTATCCATGTCCAAAATTTTCTTTTCAATAAAAAGCAAAATATGCACAATTTTGACAACGAAATTAAGAATTTACAGGCAAGCCACGTTAAATTGCTGATTTTGTCATTCCTTTACAATAATTGCACAGGTTTGGCGTGTATATAGTGATTACAAAGAATTCAGCACGGATTTTGTGAGTAAAACTGTGATATTTATATATATCAATATTTTTACTATCACTAATAAAAATGATATATAATACAAAATCTAAACTGTTTGAGTAGTTCTCGGGTTTTCACAGTAAACGAATCCATACAAATGTTCCCTTGCGAATTAACAACATCTTTCTTGTGACTTTCTTAGCTTTCGCCTCATTTGTCATGTGTTGGCCGTAATATGAAAGTGCTATTGTCAAAAATAATAATGATTTCACTTGATAAAGGTTGGGCAAGTAAAAAAACAATGCATAGTTGAAGGATTCTTGTTTTTCGCACTGGAACAAAGTGCTAGTCTGCGGTTTAGCACCACAAAAGGTCGTTTTTGGTTAGCAATAAGGTTAGGGTTTTGGTCAGCGTCTAAGGTGTCCGTCAGAGTACAGGAACATACTGTAGTATCACTCTATAGAAATTTTTGTGTAGTGCATAAAGTATTACGCATGTGATTAGCATAGTGGCAGCCAGTAAGTAGTGTTTTGGGACCAATAGGAACGCTTCGGTGACTTGCCGCAGTAAGTAGGCTAATCAATCAAATATACAGCACCAAGTTGAACAGTAGAGTGAGACTACTGTTTGTTTCTATACTGTGGTGTCTGCTAACAATGTTTTGCATATTTCGTCCTGATATGTCTCATGACGTACATGTTGTTTCGTCACCAAAACTCCAGAGTTAAGGTTTACAAACAATCCATTCATTAACATTGACTTTACAATGGACTTATTTGCAATTTCCTTCTCAGATGAGATTCTATGTGATGATTTGCTTAATGAACGATTCGCAAAAACTGAAAATGTTGCAGCGTTTTTCCATGTCGAAATATTGATATATTTTGAGCGATTAATTGTCAGTGACGTGTTTAGTGGACTCATGCTGTCATGCAAATTTTAAGATAAATCGTCTAGTGTTTACATCTCAACAAATCTTTAAGTATTATTATATCATTATCATAGGCTGCTTTGAAAAACAACTAGCTATAAATCTCCATAAATAAATTGATGAAAGTGCTATTCATGATAAAATAACGCGTAAGTGCTTTCAGCGAAATTGATTTGATCGTATTTAGCACAAGTTGTTTAGGAACACAGATTTATGATTCGCTTTTAAACATTTAGCAATTTACAATGTGCTTTTACGTGCACTCAATGAGAAATACAGCCACCTTTTGCTAAGACGTGGAATTTTACATGGGAAAAAAAGGCAATTGAGCCTTAAACTTAAAGAAGTGATTGTCTTCTGTTTATCTCCGCTTGTTAAATTAAGGGCTGCAAATTTTAAACTCATCTGTTGAAACTCAAACGCAGAATCGTCGCAGGCATTTTTTTATCAAACCAAAAATGAACCTACGTACGAACGAACTTAATTGTTAGTAGGCTTACACATCTTTTGTGGAGAAAGCAAAGCTTTTTGCAGTGTTTGCAAGAGATTGCGACATAAATGCAGGGTTTTTTACATGAATGTTACATGTGAAACCGCACGTGTTGAAAGTTATGGAATTATCTGACCACGAGTATCTATAACAGGAATCAACGCTTCAATAACAGTGTTTGCTTAGCATTGTTGAAATTACTGAAGGAACTTCCTAGTATAAATTAATATGGTAATTCGAACAAAGAAAAGGTGCAAGTTCGTGTTGATAAATGAATATATGCACCTCAACATGCTTTGTTTTATATACAAAAATTCTTTTCTTATCGTCTTTATGTCTGGTCGATATTACAAGATGACCAAAAATACTTTCAATTAAATAATAAAACATCAACTTATATATACATTATTCTAGATTGTTCCGTGGTCGTCGACGATAATAGATTTGTTTTGTGTTTTCTATATTGAAAAACTAAGAGTATATTACATGACGCAGCCGACGCTTTTCGAAGGTCGCTTTCAACGGTTTTTATTTGTGCAACAATATATAATGTTCTGACGGTCTGACCGAATTCCGTTTCATTGATCTCTATGTATATATGGTTGTACTAAATGTATACAACATAAATTTCGATAATTACATAGCAAATTTTTCGTCCCTCTGTTTTATTGACAATAGTTAGAACTATATCATGAAAGCATTCAAACAGGGGCGGATCTAGGATTTTTCAAACATCAGTCATAAAACGTTGGAGCCGCTCCGCATCTGGGGGGGTCTGAGGCATTCTCCTCTGAGAAATTTTGAATTTCAGAGCCTTGAAAATGCCATTTTCAGCGTTTTAGAGCAATACAAAATGTATTTTGTGGGCATCGTTTTTGCGTAAAAACAACACATTTTGCTTACGTTATTTTCAAAAAAAAAAAAATGAAGTGAACAATACTTGAATGTTTTGCCAAATATTTAGGCTCATTATCATGCCAAATATATGGCTCATTAGCATGTCTAGGAACGTAAAATTTATTTTACAATAATGCTATTCAAAAGCAGATACAGTCTTTAAAAATTTCTACCACGTTGTCAGGCATGGACCCCCCTAGAGACCCCCATTCAAACCTCTATGTAATGACCTAAGTTAGAAATTTGGTACTACAAGTGACAGTTCATAGATGTAGAAAAGCTCAGACTTCAAAACATGCAAGTTTATTGTAACCCTTTACCAATCTCCACATCAGTGCCAGCAAATTCACTTTTTGAGAAAAAACTCAAAATTTTTTTCTGCCAAAGATTAAGCATAAATTATCAGAGTGAAAATTTGCAGTTAAGGACAGCTTAATGCCATAAATGTTTATTAGGCATTTCACTAGACTATTATCTCCTGTAAGTATATGCAAGGTGTGCTATATAGCAATCACTAGTAGCATTGTATTGGCGAATACAAACAGAATGTAACCAACATGTCTTTAATTATATAATTACATGAATGTTAAAATTGGTTCATGTGTCATGGTTACTGGTTATGATAAATATCTCTTCATATGATCAAAGCTCGTTTAAATCTGAAATAATTTAGATTAGAAATTATAATGATCATCAGAAAAATTACCTAGTGATCATGAAAAATACTTTGCTGTTTTGCCAAATTTCAAGACATTTTTACTTTATAGAAAATGCTATTCATACATCAATAGCCCTTTGGAATTTATGGCGAACAATCTGGTATGAGCTGTAGATTAACACAACTTTACATCTCTACATGAGGTGTTCAGTTAGAAAAGGGGACAATATGTGACATGGGACAACATTTCATGTATGTGAAATACTCAGGTTTAATACCATTTCAGTCAAATTGTCAAAATAAAAAGCTTCATGGATCAGAAGACTCAATATCAGAGGTTATAGTAAACAGCTTCTCATGTAATCAATGTGTAGGTGATTAAACAATATGTAGTATAACTGTCCACTGATTAAATGATCAATGATCATAAACAGAAAAGCCCCAAACATTTGTTAATGATAAAGTAAATAATAGTATGGCGCCTTATGGCTGCAGATTTTTCGTCCATTGAAATATATTTGCAGGAGTGTAGGATTTCGCTGCCATATAACGGTCACGATTCCCCAAGCAATAAAGAAATCATAGCTAAAAGTCGTCGGCAACAACAATTTTAGAAGCATCAATCTGCTTACCATACGCCATATTGACATAAGTCGCATCACACACTCGCATAAATTGACTTTGATATATTACATTCATGCATACACTTCACTTGTCCTTTACTTACGATTTTGGATGTAAATTTCTGCTGATAAAACTCAAAAAAATGTTGGCTTTCTTTTGAACATCAATGACTGCAATGTCGCTGGCGAATCACCGTTGAAGCCATTTTCGAGAAACATAAAGATTTAATTTGCAAGTTTGCGAGAAAGGATTCTGACGGACAGCAGCAAATTTGGCAAATAATTCCAACTGTTAGTGGAAGGTAGCTATCCACCTTTTATTCAAATACAATCCAACGTAGAAAAGACAAAAATGTTCACTGAAAACTTAATTTACTGTTATGTGCCCTATGGAGAAAATGAAGAAGTTTAACTTATAGCTGGAGATGGGAGATATATTCATATATTCATGTCCCACCGTATTAAGTTCCTGCGTGTTAGAACATGCAAACATGAATATTGACCACTACCCCAACTATCAGGGCCATCTATGGCTTTCGTCATGTATTGCTTCTTCAAATATATCGCTCGTATAGAGCCATTTGGTGTTTATAAAAAGTACAAGCAGACCCTGCAACTAAAACTTTGGTATAGCTTGATTACATTTTCACAATTGGTAAATTATCAATCTTTTTACAAACAAACTAAAGTTCTTTAATCTCCTTCATTCTCAAATATTTTATGTGAAACTTCATGTGTCACAATTTGAATGAATGCCAAAAGATTGTAAAATTTTGTAGATTTGAGTAGATAACGTTTCGTACTAATGCAATATTGAAATGGCTCTGCTAAATTGCTTTTCAATGTATATTTTGCTTCAATAAGACGTAGAATGACGCCAGCAAACAAAAGACATTTCTGACATGGAAAGGAAAAATCAATATGCAATATTTGATTTTCAGGTAAAAGTTGTCTCAACATTTTACTAAAAGATTTGAGTCATGAAAGCGAAGAATAATCGATTGCTCCAAAAGGACAGAGCGTATTGCAGGTGGTTTGACCGTGTATTACGCAACTGATGGTTTCGTTGACATAAAAAGAAGAATTGAAGACCACCCCAAGTCTTGGCTATCGTGCTGATTGCTATCATATACTAGGAAGTTGATACGCACTTAAAAGTAAATCATAATAATTTTAATATAACTTAGTTGAGCAACAAGACTGTTGAGTAAAACGCCTGATCAGTGTTGCAATTCGTTGAGATGTATCAAACAACGATATTAAAAACTAGGTACTAGTATTATCTATATTCAGTCAGCTGTTTATTGCTGCTCAACAAATTGTGTCAGAAATTATGTAAATAAATCATGATTGTTATGTGAGACTAGGAACTTATTGTTAAAGCGGAAAAAGGAACTTATGATTATTGAGTATTTTAGAAGGGTCAAATTAAGACGGCATTGTCTTTTGCTGATGCCTGTGAACGAGTAAGGAGCATGAATTGGAATTGATGTACAACTTTGAATAGAAAATTAAATTGATGACAATTGAGAGTGTTGTTTGACTGCGCGCTAGCTTTAGATAGTATACAGTCCCATAGAGAACCGGCGGAAGCATAACTGCTTTGTGCTAACGTGCTAAGGAGAAAGTTGCTATACATATTTAGTTGTAGCTCGTATTTGACTAAGCACTGATTTTGTGAGTTTGAAACTTGTTCAGTTGTGTAAACTATGTCATTGCTTTTATACGTTATCTCCTTGCAGGCTACTTGAGTGCTTTCTATTTCATTTTAAACTCCTAACGCTTTGTTATTTGTAGCTCAAACTTTGGTTCTGTTTGATTAAACACTTTAAATTAACCATAGTGACTTCATTAATCCATCATGTTGAAGCGCAAATAACCGACTGAAATTAGTATTTGTGAGTTTTGAACCAAAATATATTGCATCACTCATCATCGAAAGGTGGGGGGGGGGGAGGGGTCGCCAGCTACACCGCAGTAATTTTTTTGCGTATAATTTATCTTTATTAGATCAGAATTCGATATAACTTTTAATTCCTAGAATAGAGTAACGTTGGCCTGAAATTGAGAAAATCTGCATTGTGAGTATATTCAAACAAACGATATATCGTTATTCTTTTACATATATAAAAAACTTTGATGAACTCAACCAAAACAAATGCGTAATCGACAATAGTATATTAAAGAAAGACAAATTTGCTGTGTGAAATTTTCACTATCCTCGGATCTCTTTCTCTTATAACGAAGGAAGTGCTTTGGGCCTGATGGTCTCATGACGAAGCTCTATGAGAAAATACACAATTGTTCAGATGATTTGTCACGTGTAAGACGCACGTGTAAACATCATGTGACAATTGTTATATACATGGCATAAATGAACGTTTAAATTGCCAAGTTCAGACAGTTTTGAAAAAAGTGCTGAAGGAAATTTTAAAGTAAACAAGATATGATAATTTAATCAAATAAAACGAGTATATTTATGCTAATAAGTCACTTTGTGAGCCACGACATAGCCAGTTTCATAAAAATTCATAAAAGATAAATTAAGGGACCAATAAGATTGGCGGAAAATGGCTGAAGGAAACAGTTGATAGATTATAATTTGCAACGTAAAAATAAGACTTTTCATCGCAGAGCACACATACTGAACCTTTCTTCCAGGGTGGACTCAAGTAAGAAAAAGAAATACTGAAAGTATTAATAGCAAAGACAAAAATGGTTTCAACGGTGATTCTGGTAACAACAATAGTGATGATGATAAATAACATTGTTAACGTAAACGCAGTAAGTACAATAAAGTAATTTATCTATTTTATGTTGGCATCTATTTTAATCGTGTATTAGTGATCTCTTGTAAAGAACTTATTGTTTGTTACATAGATTTTGTGGTTTGAAATGTAGTACCTAGGCTTATATTTTATAAATTACTGAAAAAAAGTTTATTCAACGAATTTCATTGCAATAGATTAATCATACATTAAATTTTGAAAACATTCAGTGATTTTGATGACTGTTTGATTTACAAGGACATAGCGCACTTTACCTGAATTTTACATTTATATTAACAGAAATCAAGTCTGTACACGGCAGCCGACAGATGCTTGGCAAGTCAAAACAGAATGTATAGAGTTACTCTTCAAATATGCGATAAAGGATTCTGGAAGCCGGCAGTTACACTCCCTAAAGGTTCACCGAAAGGTATTCATAATACTTTGCTAAAAGGGTTCTACAGATCTGAAAATTCCAAAAAAATTAACTTTCTTTTTTTTTCACTTAATGTCTTTGTGTTTCTCAATCATGGTCACATCAGTGAAGTAATTTACATGAAGTACACCAGCATAAAATACAAAGAATATAGACCAAAATTACACGATTTAGTCTAATAATTGAGTTTGTATGCATTATATGTTTAGCACGGACTACATTAACCGAATGTTTTTCATTGGTTAAGCAGCTTAGCTGCAGTGACTCAGTTACTTGGACAATTATATTATTTAGAAATGTACTTTTGAAGTCATTCTTTCGAGTTTTGTGTGTTTAGTCCTGAAATTCTTTCGCTTCTCCTATAGCTTTTCTATGCGATATTTGAACGAAATTGTTTTGATATTGAAAGTCTGGCAAGCATACTGCACATGATGATGAAATTCAGCATTTCAATTCTTTTACTTATATTTTGTGCTACCGATTCTTAGGTTAAATATGTTTTAATGTTATAAAATCGCTTGGATAAAACAATTTCTATATATATGCTCGAACTTGAGGAAGGATAAAACAATTTGAAATGAACTCTTTGTCATTATGATTAAACTTGATAATATCGGATAGTAGGTTTTCAAAAAAATGTTAAAGGATAAATATTTTGTACATAATTGCACTTCTATCTTTTTTACCGATATTTACTTGTGGTGCATTTTTTAACCACTTAGTCAGATCTATAATTTGAGTGGTAGGCCATATTCATATATTCATGATCTCAATTATTAAGTCCCATTAAAATGCATTGCTTTCTACGGATTATTAGCCTCTCCACCTCTCAACACACACACACATACAATGTTACCCAATTTTCTCCGTCCATGATTTCACATTTGGTGAATTCTGTAAAAAAAACGCAATCAATAAAATATTGTCTGATGATGACATTACACTGCTTTTAAACATTTATTGCAATAAGTTACATATTTTAACATACTTTTTAAAGATATGTTTGGACACAGCTAAACGATGTCAACTAATATCGCTAATTGTGCCTGACATAAGGTCAAAATACTGACTAACTTAGAGTATAATTTTCAGGTGAAAGTTGTCTCGACATTTTACAAAAAGGTTCACGCCATGGAAGTGGAGAATATTTGATTGCTCCAAAAGGACAGAGCGCATTTAAAGTTTACTGTGATATGGACTCATTTGGAGGTGGCTGGACCATGTGTTATAAAACTGACAATTTTGTTAATTTAAAGAATGAATTGAAAAGTACTCCACGTCTTGGATACAGAGCTGATTGTAATCATATTCCAGTAGGTTTTTAACATAAAAGTAACTCGGTCAGAATAATTTATATGCCTTTGTTTAGAAGGAATTCTGGTATAGCTACAAATAAGAATAGTCCCTCCATTGCCTCATTGACAAGCAAAATCAGAACAACTTAATCAGAACAACTATCATAATATCATAAATTAGAACAACTATAGTCCAGCATTTTTCATTACATCAATTGATTTGTACAGTTTAATAGTGTGATGTTTGTTGATGAAAAATCCACTGCCAAAGCAGCGTTTACCAGAGACGTATCAACGAAGATAACCATTAACGACAGTTATGACAAAAACGCAAATGCGTTTGGACTTTGGACTGCTAAAGGTGTCGCTTCATCGTCATACAAATATCAATTACTGGTTTGTAATACATCATTTTACAAAGGTTTAATGGTCTCTGGCTACACAGGCTCCTGTTATAAGAGGTGCGACCATTGGTGTGGCGACACCGTATCGCCATATTTCCGTTCTGCAAGCTCATCAAAAATTACGCAGGAGTAGCATTTAATGAAAATGGTCATAAACCAGTTGCAAAACGTTTGATCAGTGTCGCAATTCGTTGAAACTGTATGACCAGTAACGTATTATTACATATAATTCATCACCATTTAGATAATTGTAGTTGTTTATGTTTTCTTACAGTCTTAATAAAGAAATTAAAGAGATTTTTTAATGCAAAACCTGGCACGGAAATTTCATCACATTGCCATTCAGGCTGACAGGCGCATCTTTATGATGCTACTCATAGGAAGCACGTCTCCCTATTTTGCTAGTATCAAATAACATATAATAGAATATGTTGTTACATATCTAACATAAGAAAATGATATTAAAAATTTCAATTTCTGAAATTATTTTCAATTTAAAACGTCATTTTAGAAAAAAGAAATTATTCAATGACAAAATGAATAATTGTTTCAAATTTGTGCGGTTGGCACATCGGTTTATATAATAATAAAAAATAAATCATTTGCTCTTGTAAAATTCAAATCCTTCTATATTTCGACTTACTCTAAACCTCTCGTTTTCTTGCACATGCTTCATCAAAATAATCAAACCACATCAATTCTTTGGAGCATTTTGAAAATAGCTATTTGTTTTCAGATATTCCTTGAATCTCTAAATTAACTAGCTTACTATCAACTCACTAATTACAACGCTATCAATTAGTCATTTCAATAAAAAATATATTACATATAATTTTGTGAAGATAAAGTGGCACGTGACGTGCTTTCTGCATTCCTTCAAACAGCACAAAGGCGAAAACCATCTCCTGTCGCAGTTACAATATATGTGCAATAAAATTGTAGAAAATCATTTGCACATGTATTGATTACGTTGCCTACTCGCAAAAATTTGAGTCTGTGTCAGTGTCGGGTATGTATTTTAACTGTGGGATAATACTTCATATTAGTTATCATACAATGAGAGCCACATGAAAAAAACAATATGACCCAAAATCTGCGTAACGAAAGATCCACATAGCTAATAAGGCAACGTGTCACTGTAATGACAATATCACTGCATGTGATGAAAATGTCGGAGTGCATATTGACGTATGGATTGACCGCTATAATGACAAATTTACAGGACGTAACGGAACATTATCACATAAGATAGTTCTAGCATTCGATATTTTGTGGTTTCCTTTGTTTCATTATCGAACTTTGCATTTAAAAGTCAAGAGCAGAGTAGCACTAACCATTTTATATGTCCGAATAAAGCTCACGAGTTTATCGTATCCGGAAAATAATCTCAACAAGCGATGATGTTCGAATAAAACAATCAGCTATTAAAAATTACAGGGTGTGTCAAAAAAATTGGTCGTCTTTGAATTCAGCTGACATTTAGAATTTACTTGATTCAGCAGCAATGATACCGAAGGAGGCGTAAATGCAAGTGAGACAAAAATACAATTTAACAGATTTTGAAATTTTCTTTATAATTATACATATGAGCCAATAAATTTGTCGTGACTGTCAAAACAAGTTACTTTAGTTGCTTTACGATAGCAATTCAATTAACATTTACTAAATGTAGATTTGCCAACAGCAGAAAATGACAGATTAGACACTTCTACATTTTCGGAAACATCCATGACGTCATTGAAAAACGGCTTTCTTACAAATGATGACGACACAACAGCATTTTCTAAAAAAATGAAAAATTGCTTTCAATATAAAGGCGTATTATGGCAAGAAAGTCGATTTGCACAACTGCTTGAGTGTTTTACAGTTATCTATGCTGTTAAATACAAATACCAAAGGTAGGAAATACTTCAGAAAAAGCGCGAAAAGAAGAGAATCCTTCAGTAAATTTAATAATCTTTTATAACAATGAGCAAAACGTTATAACAATGCAATCGTTTTGTCTCCGAAAGTGATCTCTGTCAGCCTTGTTGATGAGAAGTTGAGAGTTCGTTCTTGAAGCAATGCTTAACCATGCATGCTGCTTATATGTATACTACCATACCGTTTAGTTTATAATGTCTGCCAAAATTGTGGGTTTTTTCATAATATACATCACAAATGCAAATTGAGATTGTTTTAGTAACAAATATCAATAATAAATAATTAAGTAATTATTAAAATTATTAATTATTAATCTATTAAAATCAATTAAATTATATGAATTAAATAATTAATCAATTAATTCATTAATTCATTGAGAAAAAATTAACAAACTTCATCGTCGAGTATCGATACTTCTTTCGGTTGGTTTCCCTCAGCTTACCGTCAATATTTGGAAAAAGTTCTTCTGTGCTTCCACGGCCAATTTGAACGTTGAGCAAATCTAAATTCAAAGAAAGGACATTGAGGACAAACTAATTGTTTGTAAAAACTAATATCCATTACTTGAAATCAATGTCCCAACACATTTCAGAAACCATTATACTAATCACATCAAACAAACAAGAATAAACAAGTGCATTGAATTAGGGCTTCTTCATATCAAAAAATGAGCCTGACAACACTCCTAAAGAGATGATAATATAAGATGCAGGCGTAAATTCGTGTGAATTTAATAATGACAAGATACTTAACTAACGAACATCAAGGAAAAAAAACAACTCAACTAACGACAACTCATTATAACTCTGGAGATGACTGCTGCTAAGGTTGTCGAAACGTCAGTCAACATCAACAACATCCTTCTCAGGACTCTACTAACCTGGAAGATCTACATCTTGGAAGATCTACATCTACAAACATGAAACGACAGTTCCTCGAGCATGAACGCTTTTGTCATTTCACGTAGATATTGCCTTTCAAAAGTAATTAAAAACACAAAACATACCTCGTTTATCGAGGATTTCCAGAATAAACAAGGTTCTTTAAAGAATATTTGATTAAAACGTTGACTATGGAGTTTGGTTATTTTTTTAAGGAGAATAAGTTTAGTTTTCTTCTCGTTAATCAAAGTGAACAGTCTTTCCTTGATATTTTTAATAGTGTATAATATTAATGAATCCAGAGAATCATCAGACGTTTCCTGCAACCGTTGTTACTCTTTTACAAAGTATAACAATGCTTTAGGCTATTGGAATTACTAGAAAATTGATTTTATATCTTTTAGCTATAAAACATATTTTAGCATTACTAAAGCCGACATTGACAAAGTAGGACAAACAGGAACTCCATGAGAAGCATTAAGTGTTTCTATCCGATGCATATAGGGATGAAATTAAAGTATAAAGTTGTTTTCAATTTCGGTGCAACCGCATCCTCATGCTATTTTCATGTATGTGAAATGAAAAAAGAAAAGACTTACCAAATTCAATAAGCTTTCTGTTCTTTGATCGCGAGCAGTAACATGCTTAGCATAAAATGTGATCAATCATTAATATTAATGAGAACACGGTCAATTACGGTCGATAATGAACGTCGTGATTCAGTCAACAAGAAATAAAAACTTATAAAAGGCGGAGAAATGTTACATAAATGATACATAACTTGTTATAAATGTTTTGACTATTATACTCTATTTATTCTTTGTGAAGCAAGAAAATAGAAACTTAGAAATTCCTTGCCTTTCTTTTATATAAAAAAGAATGTAAGAGTTTAAATGGGTTTAATAAATACACATTTGAACAAATCGATCTAAGGCAAATTATTTATTGATTATAGTTGGATAACATACATTTAATAATTTAGTCAACACATTGTCTAATGATTACTACTACATACGAGTTCTCCATTGTGAAGAAACTATTGAAAAGATATTATCTTACTTTGAGGATATTACCAGCAATGTAATGATTATTGAATGAGTAATTATAATCTAATTTAATATAAAATGTTGGTACAGTCTTGATTCTGATTGGCTAAGAGCCTACAGATATTTCTTGATGTTTTGTCACCCACCAAACATTGAAAATTATCTGTAGGTGACGCAATTTTAATTGTGACAACTGTAAACATGAAAGGTATATTAAAAAAAATTTCTCGAGATTTGCACAACGTTTCACCAACTGTTTTCGTTTTAAAGACGTAAAAAACGCCGAAATGGTTACACTGTCAGTCAGGAGAGTTTTCGCCAAGTATTTACTGAGAAAAGACGAAAGAAAACAGCAAAAATTATCTAATGTCGAAGCACTGAAAACTTTATGGCTTTAGTGCAAAATAGTAGGAAAGCTTCGGCATTATTAATTGCATAATAAATCAATTACTGAATTCAGGTTTCGCGTCATATCAAGAATAATTCAGGCCATGGTCGACTTTATCCGCCTCAACTTCGCTTTGGTAGATAACATTGACCTCGGTCTGAACAGTTCTTGATGTCATGCTCAACCTCATTCAACAATTTTTAATTGTTAAGTGCTTAACTTGCCATGTAAAAAGTCACGATTAAACGTCAAACTGTGGGTAACAGTGATGCAGTTGGTAGAAATCGTTTGGTCTTCATTGGAGGTAGTTCTTTCCACACTTTCTCTCTCAGATTAAGATATTCAACAGAATCAAGATACTCTTCCTCATTCTTTCCGCCAACTACAACAATAATATTTCTATCGATAACAGCTGCGCATCCATATCTTTTATGATTGAGAGGTGGAAGTCTTTCACATTCTTCTGTTTTCAAGTCATACATGAGGACAACATCTAATGTTTCACCATTTACATTAATAACTCCAATCAAGATTGCCTTATCTCCGTACCTTACAATAGTCATGTTACTAACAGCATACGGAAGGGAGTTGAGGTTTTGGGATGTGTCATAAGTCAGATTGTAAAAAAAAACACTGTCTTCAATGTCTTCATTTTGGTTCGATGTCCTTCCACCAAAAACCAAAACCTGATCATCGATGATAAGCGAGCCATGACAGTATCGTCGCTGTAGCATAAATGTCAAAAAGTATGTTTTGTGCGGATTTTTTACTGAAATGGCTTGAATCTCGTTCTACACTTCTGGAGGTCTCATTCTGTTCAGTCCACCGGTCATAACAATTTTGTCATTCCAATAAATTACTTTATGCCTTTTACATGGTTTTGGCATTGCAATTTCAGTCTTTATCCACCCAGAACGTTCAACATTCAGACTTTCCACACTTTCAGAACATTTCTCTGCATTTGATCCACCGGTTACAAAGATGTTTCTATCATGAACAAACGCAGCAGCATCACAACGTTTCTCTATCATATTTTTCTCTTCTTTCCAAGTATTTTCATTAATGTTAAATGACTCTACGCACTCTAAACTGCCATTCTTATTTTCCCCTCCACATACTATGATGTCAAATTTTCCTTCGAGAAAATCAGAAGATGATTTATCTTCATCGTGTGAATCGTGTCCAGATGCATTATTTGTAACTGCTCGAGTCAGTCTCAACAATTCTGTTTGTTTATCTTGAATTTCATTCTGACCCTCTTGAAACTGCTGGACAGCATTGATAATTTTCGTTTGATTTTCGCTAAGGTTATTACAAAGCAAAGACAAACGCTCAACACTTGACTTCACTTGGCTTAAAAGTTCTTTTTTGGCAGTTTTTCTGTTGAAATCACTTGCGTCATCTTCAAGTTTCCTCTTGCTTTTATTAACGTCTTCCATAATTTGTCACAGTGAAAACAAAACTTCTGTTGGAACGCAAAATAATGGCGATGTACACAAAATACGGAGAGAGAAATGTAAGACAAACTAGAGATGCAACGAGGAATATTATCAGTGTTACACACAAAGAAATAGGAATAATAAGTAGCCCATAGAAAAAGGAATAAATAGAAGAAATGTCAATAATTGCGTCTGAAATTTTTTTGTCGTTAGTTTGTTTGAGAAAACTCGTAATGTTTCTTACACACAAGTCCTTAAGTTTCTTTAGGTATTCCTCAATTAAAAAGGCGGATTTATTTGTAGCGTGAAGAGCGTCATTGTAAGCTGCACAGCAAATCTTTCTCGAAAGAAAAAATATCGAAATGAAAGGGATAGCAAAGTAAGGGACGATAAAAATTATGCATATAAGAGGTTTTTCAAAATCAAAGAAAAAAAGATATGAATTGAAAAATTGAAAAAAGCTTTCTTGCTGTGTCGTCAATTTGCTCCGTACCTTTGATTAAATAAAGGAAAAGCTTTATGTAAAAAACATTGGGATGTACAGAAACCAGATAAGACACAACTTAGTACGAACGTCGATATGGGGGAAAAGAAATATTCTATTTTTTTGAATAATGAATTCAAATCGACAGTTGTATTATCATGTAATGGCAAAGACGATTGAATAAGTGCTGAAGACATGCCTTTTCCTTCAACAATTATACTCGGTAAACAGCATAAGATCAAAGGCCAATACAAAACCGCTAACCCAAATAAGAAAGCAAGAATTGAATTAAAAACAGCTAACCATTTACCCTCGTGTACGGGCAGTTCGCAATTAACAGCTATGACATGACTATCCTTCGTAAAAGTTCGTTTATAGCATTTGTATCTAAAGTGACCACCATAACTAAACCAGTACTCATGTAGAACTCTATAACATACCACATCGTTTTCACTTATGGCTGTTCTGTGCTTTGCTTCACCGACTTTGTTCAATACATATCAAGCAATTTCCTGATCATGACACGTTGAGTTCAACCTCGAGATTTGCAAAACGTTTCGTTTTAAAGACGTAAAAAAACACCGGAATTACATTGGGTTACACTGGGTTACACTGTCAGTCAGGACAGTTTTCACCGAGTATTTACTGAGAAAAGACGAAAGCGAACAGCAAAAATTAACTAATGTCGAAGCAATGGAAACTTTATGGCTTTAGTACAAAATAGTATGAAAGCTTCGGTCTTATTAATTGCAAAATAAAACAATTACTGAATTCAGATTTTGCATGATATCAAGAATAATTCAGACCTCGGTCGACTTTATCCGCCTCAGCTTCGCTATGGAAGATAACATTGACCTCGGTCTGAACAATTCTTGATATCATGCTCAACCTCATCCAATAATTGTAAATTGTTAAATGCTTAACTTGCCATGTAAAAAGTCATGATTACACGTGAAACTGTGGGTAACAGTGATGCAGTTGGTACAAATCGTTTGGTCGTCATCGGAGGTAGTTTTTCCAAGCCTTTTTCTCAGATAAGATTTTTTAAACGGAATCAAGATACTCTTCATTATTCTTTCCGCCAACTACAACAATAATATTTTCATCGATAACAGCTGCGCATCCAAATCTTTTATGATTAAGAGGTGGAAGTCTTTCTCATTCTGCTGTTTTAAATTTTATGTCAAGACATTATCTAATACTTCACTTTGATCACCAATACTTACCCTTATCTTCATACCCTACTAATGCCATTTTGCACTCTGAATATGGTAGTCACTTAAGATTTTTCCAACTCTCATCATCCAGGCTGGAAGAAAAATAGTGTTTATCACATCCTCTTCTTGATTCGATGTTCTCCCACCGGAAACAAAACTTGGTCATCCATAGCATATTAGCCATGACAGTATTGTCGCTTCGGCGTTAACGTCAAAAAAACTGGCTCCATGCGAACGATTTAGTGGAATGCTGTAAATGTTGTTGAAGACTTTTGGAGGTGTTAATCGTTTTAAAGAGTGGTTGATTTAACCACTCATGACAACTGTGTCTTTGTAAAGAACTATACTGTGTCCTATACACGATCTTGCCATTACAATTTCAGTTTTACCCACCCAGGACATTACAATCCAGGCTTTCCACACTACTAGAACATTTTTTTACATTTGATCCACCGGTGACAAACATTTTCCTTCAGCACCACAAAGTTTTTCTGTCATATTTTCTTCTGCTTTCCAAAATTTCTTATTCGTGTCAAATGAATCTACAAAGTCTAAACTACCTTTCTCGTTCTCTCCTCCGCAAACGAAGTTCTTCACTTTTCGTGAGAGGATCAGAGGAGACAATCTCCTCATCGTTTGTGACGTGTACACCAAGATGAATAGTAACACTTTTTGTAAGTTTAAGCAGTTTACTTTGACTTTCTCTCATTTTAATCTGATTTTGCTGTAACTTCTGTAAGTTTTTGATGAGTTCCTTTTCATTTTTGTCAATTTCATTAAAGCGTTTTAGCACTAGAGCTACTTTTAAATCGTTCAAAGAGTATCTTTTAGCTGCTTTAGTGCGTAAATTGCTCGTGTCCTTTTCCATGTCTTTTTTTTCTTCTCTGTCTAGTTTCGTCACAACCCATTGCAGTGTGCTATAAGTCTATTTTATTCGTTACTTTATCCCCTTCTATTAGATGCGCTCAACACAAAAAACACTGGAATATTACGGAGTAGATACAAACAAAGAAACTTTTCTTTGTTAATGAGAACAGCGTAGTTAACATTTCAAAATTATGTGCATGAAATATTTTCCTTTGCAAATACCAGGAATTCATGCAAATGATCGCTGAGTATAAAACATGCGTGATTGTTATAAATGACAAGCAACAAAACAACTGAAACTATTAGTTTTGATAAATTTTGTAGCGCATAAGCAAAGTTATGAAAATTTGTAGGGTAGACTTAAATGTACCTTTTCATGTCCAACAATTCAAGAGCAAAGGGCAACATAATAAAAAACACTAACTACTACAAATACACATAGCTACAAAAGAATAGAAAATTCATAGGCTACAGAAAAAGGAAAATTTTCGTTAAAGTTGGTAGTCGGCTTCGAACAGTAAACAAAAAAGATTGTCAGAAGTGTTATCTTTGTATCGATAAACTTCACCAACAATCTCATATAATTTTATCAGTGCCAAGTTACACGTATCTCAACATTATAACTACACCATCGTCAGCAGTAATAGGTTGTAATTTTATCAAGTTTTTGCCAAATTGGTAAAACTCCACGTGAGGCGTACGGGGGTGTAGTTTAACGTAATCGTGTGGTTGCGTGTTTGAAAAAATTGTGGTAAAAGTCGGCCATTTTAATTAACTTGTATAAAAAATGCACACGTGGAATAATTTTTATCAAAGTGGTAAAAATCGGCCATTTTGGGGTATTGTTTCCACGTATGAACTTATAGAGACGCGTCGAATTGAGAAGATTTTAGGCGAATTAAAGTTAGCGAATGATACTTACTCACCGGTGGTACGAATTTCAATGAGACATACGTATAAAAATTAAAAATAAACAAAAATAGGTTTAGAGTGTCGGTGTTATCGATCTTGCAAGGAGAGAAAGATGGATATCATTTGTTTTACCAAAGTTGATCTTTCGTACAGGCGTGTACAACAAAAAGTTAGGCAAGAATAAAAAGATTACCTCCAGTTACCTCAAAGCGATATCACTCATTTCAATGGCGAAAAATCATATCTTCACGTTTCGGAAAAGCAGTGTTATGTTTTCATGCCATAATTCGGATCTTGTCTTGATCCGTCGACCGGTTTAATGATCAACGGAGAAGGTGTCTTGACGCATCCAGTTCGAAAAGGAGCATGGTGCTATCGACCAGCAATTCTGTTTTAGTACATACAGGGGTATGCAATTACGAGCAAGGAATTGTTGCACGAATGTTTTATGCAGTGCGGTGTTTGAAATTAAATGAAGAAATGATCTTCGCACTTTGCTGGACAATTTAAGCAATCGTCTCATGAACCTGAAAAAATCAGGTGACTCAACGGGATTCGAACTCATGACCTCTGCGGTGCCGGTGCAGTGCTCTGAGCACGATCATTGCGAAGATCATTTCTTCATTTAATTTCAAACACCGCACTGCATAAAACATTCATACAACATTCCTTTCACGAGAAAACATGAGCCTAACAATATTGACCTGCTCACCACTGTGTGACTTCATAGCTCAGTTGGTCAGAGCACTGCACCGACACCGCGGAGGTCATGGGTTCGAATCCCGTTGAGTCACCTGATTTTTTCAGGTTCCTGA